CGAAACAGATTTACTATATGCAAAATAGTTTTTAAATGCTTTAGTTTTCTTTTCAACAAGAGGTGTAAAACCAATACCACCACGATCAATAACCAACTTTTGAGAATCAAGTATAACATCAAGACTGGATTTTTCTTGTGCAAGTTTAGATGCAGTTTTTATTAAATATGTTAATTTCTTTTGTAACTTAGGACAATTTTCACAATCTTTATCATTACACATGCAATTAGAATTATTACCTATTTCCAGATTTTTAGTCTTAGTTTCTTCATCAACAATTTTCTTTTCAAGAAGAGTGATTTTGTTTTCTAATAAACTATTCATGTTTTTTAATCTTTTGTTTTCAATTTCTAATTTCTTAGCTACTGCATGCATTTCATAAAAAGCATCTTGTAATGAACTGTAATTCATAGTAGTTGTTGAATCAGAACTTACACTGGTCATGGGAGAATCCGAATTCACCATCAAACATATCTCTGTTGTTTCTTCATAAGCCATTTCAAGAGTTTTCCACATCTGTGTAGCAGTTTGACAATGAGATATCCTAAAAAAATCATTTCTGTTACGTGCATATGTGATGATATTCTTAGCAGTACAATCATCTTGGATTAGTTTCTTTTCACAATCATTTAAACTAGATCATTCTCTGTTAAAAACATAGGAACCTTGTTCAATAATATTCCAAACACTTATATCAATAGATTCAATAAAGATCTTCATTCTTATCTTCCAAAATGAATAATTTGTTCCACAAAACAGTGGAGGTCTATCAATACAAGTACCCTCAGAAAACTTATTTCCAACCATTTAGATCGAAAACTTGAATAAATCTCAGGAACCTTGCTCTTGATACCAATTGTTAGAAAAGTAGGCTGAGATCAAGAGGGGGGTAAATTGATTTTTGAAAGATTTTTGAAATATACAGATTATCTATTTCAAAGATTAAGAGTCTTGACCAATTCTTGAATCAAACAGAGCAAACAATCAAAAATAAAGAGAACAACAAAATTAAAGAGAGAAAGGTTTAGAAAGATACAACCAAGATTTATACTGGTTCACCCAATCTCAGGGCTACATTCAGTTCCCAGCCAAATTCCAGCTGAGTTCCACTAGATTGAATATTTTACAGATTACAATTTCAATCACACACCCAATCTACCACAAGAACCAAAATTCCAGTTCTTGCAACTAAACCTTCACCAAGAACCAACTTTCAGTTCTTGAACAACCCTGCAGCCAAATTCCAGCCACAGAAACCAGTGCCCACACTTTCAGGCACCCACAATACAGTAAAGAAAAGTAAAGAAACAAAGAGAAGAAACTAGAACACCCAAACCAGGTTTATGCAGCTCTGCAGAATGAGTTTCTTCACAAAAAGAATGCAAAATTTGTCTCAAGAAAGAGCTACGAAAAACTTCATAAAACTTGCGCGATTCTCTCTTGAAAGTAGCACTTATGATTGCTTGATTGATTGCTCAAAGGTGTGTTTTAAAAGACTCAAGAAATCCTGTTTTTATAGAGAATTTTTCAAACTACTGGTTTAATTAATCTGTTAAAACAATCTTTTAATCTGTTAAAAGTCTTGAATTAATCTGTTAAAACTTCTTTTAATCTGTTAAAATGTTCTTGATCATTTTCCATATTTGTTTTAACTAATACGACAACGTTTATATCAATTAAAACACTTTGTAAAAAATCATTTAAATTGTTTTAATCGATTGTTTCGTCTTTTAATCAATTAAAATACTGACAAATGTTTCCATAAAACTTTTTAAGTTATTTTAACTGATAACAAACTTGTTTTAATCGATTAAAACATTCTGGAAAAAATCTCTTAGTTGTTTTAATCGATTAATTCGCATTTGTATCAATTAAAATACTGACAAAACATCTTTCAAAATACTTCAAGTTATTTTAATCGATTATTTCAAATTTGTATCGATTAAAATTATGTCGAACACTTTTCAAAATATCTTAAGTCATTTTAATCGATTATTTCGATTCTATATCGGTTAAAAACTCGACAGGAGGTTTTCAAAAAATCTTTTAATGAAAAAAATAGATTATTTCGAAGATATATCAATTAAAACAGTTCCAGTGTATGTTTTAAAAGGTTTTAATTGATTATTTCGAAAACCTATCAGTTAAAAACTTGTTACGAAAGTGTTAAGAATATTTTAACTGATAAAGCTCATATAATATCAGTTAAAACAATTTACTTAAAAGCCATTTAACAAATTACTTTATTTTTAACAGTTTAATCACGTTTTAGAGGCATTTGCAAAATCTTTTAAATGAAGAAGCCTCATGCAGCAGAGAGATAAAAATGATTATACCTAAGTATAGATGCAGACTCACTAATCACTCTACCATTTTATCCAAGAAATCTTTGACTCCTCTAGAATAGCCTTTGACTTCATTTTGACTTCATCAAATCAACAAGATCTTTGTTTAATCAAATGATTCAATAAGAACTTCATTATTTTCAACATCTCCTTCATATATTCAAAATTTCAATTGAAATTCATAGTTGCTTCAAACAAAACAATTTCTATTAATACTCTATTTCGTAGGGTTCAATTTTTTGTCCATATCTCGAGTTCTAGACCTCCTTTTAAGATGATTCTAATTGTGTTGGAAAGTCAAGACAATAACCTATAACTTTGATGAAGTCACTGTCCTCAAATTCGAATGTTTACTAAGTCGTTTTCCTAGTAAACAAAGAGGGGGTAATATACTGTTTGACTTTATCTCGATTATACTCTTAACCTTTTTCAAAATTTCATTTATGTCCCTAGGTTATAAAATGACTATTTTGCCCTTGAACATTTCCTATAATTTCATCCATGTCCCTAAGATGTGAAATGACTATTTTACCCTTAATCTTTTTCAAAATTCCATTTATGTCCCTAAGATGTGAAATGACTATTTTACCCTCGATCTTTTTCAAAATTTCATTTATGTCCCTAATATGTGAAATGACTATTTTACCCTTGATCTTTTTCAAAATTCTATTTATGTCCCTAATATGTGAAATGATTATTTTACCCTTAATCTTTTTCAAAAATTTCATTCATGTCCCTAATATATGAAATGACTCTTTTACCCTTGATCTTTTGCAAAAATTCCCACCTAGTCCTTTCTTTTTCCTTCGCTCCCTGTAAGCCATTTTCAAAATCCAAATTTTCCAATTTCTTAGTTTAAAGCACCCAAATTAGTTCTAAATCAAAATTAAACATGCAATATGTCCAAATTAAGTCAAAAACAACAATTTTATTATATAATTCATCTTTAATTTCAAGAATTTCATCAATATTTAAAACTTTGCAAAATATGAATAGTAATCACTTCTAGTACGCCATTTTCAAGATCCAGGTTTCAAATTTCTCAGTTTCAATCACCCAAATTAGTTCCAAATCAAAATTAAACCATAAACATGTTCAATTTAAGTTAAAAACAACAATTTTATTATATAATTCATCCTTAATTTCAAGAATTTCATCAATATTTCAAACTTTGCAAATGATGAGTAGTAATCTCCAATTTCAAAATTTCGAGACATTCGTATAAATAAAATTAAACGTCTAACTCATACCCGATTCTTCAAAAATCTTATTACTCTCCTAATTTTGTATGCTCCTCCTTTCCTCATTTCTCTCGAATTCTTCTTCCCGAATTCGGTGCCTCTCTGTTTATTCTTCAAGTTGGCCGTGAATTGTGTTGGTGTATGTTTCCAGTTTCCTCCTATTTATAAACTTACTCACCGACTTAATTTCTTCTAGGATTTTCTTTACTGTCTTAATTCTCCACCGCCTTAATTTAATTCTGATTCTTCACCGACTTAATTCAAATGTATTTAGGTCAGCACTGACCTTCTATTTCTCTTTATATATATATATATATATATATATATATATATATATATATTATTAAATTCCTATATATTTATTTATTCATTTATTTAATTTTATTATTAAGAATTATTATTAAATTATTATTTGACATAATATTAACCTTGGATTTTATTTTATAATTTTCTTAAGATAAAATTACTATAAAAATCATGTTTTATTTTTATAGTAACTCTACATAATATTCAGTACATATTTATAACTTACAAAATTTATTTATATAATTGGTTGCAAAATTTAGGATGTTACACCAATAACTCTAAAATCATCGTCATAGCCTTATCAATTATACCACACAAACATTTTATATGATACAACCTTAATAAAAAAGACAACTTCGAAAACTTTTTGCACCCTTCATATAACTCTTGGTTGCAATCTCTAAGAAAATCATCATACTCTTCACATTCTTCATTGGGCATGGTTTCTATAAACTCAACTTGTTCATCACACATGTTAGACTCTATACCATTTTGTCTATTCCTCCCAAATGCATCATTTATCATATCTATCATTGGATTTCCATTTTGTAATGACACATTTACTACTTTATTGTCCCTTGATGCTATTGTTTCATATGTCTCCCCATGCCAAATCTAGACTTTATAATTTGTTGGAAATTGCTTGCAAATCAAGTGGTCAAACACACCTTCTCTAGTTTCCCATTTGTCATACTGACATTTAGTACATGGACAAATTATTGCACAATTGACATATCGATTCTCAAATGCAAAATCTAAAAATCTATTCAACTTATCCAAATATTCAATTGTATTCCGTGGCATATCAATCCATGATTTATCCATTTTTATATCCATCGAAATAAGAAATAATTAAGTTGCAAAAATATTTTATATATCCTTTATGTACATAAACCAAGGTATAAAAGATACATTAATATCTCCTATGCTCTATATATAATAAATTCATATTTTATCCTAATGAACCACATCTATAAAAACAAATAATAAAAACAAACAAATGATTTTTAAAGAGAAACATTACCTTTTTAGTCAAATATGACTCGAAACTTTATCCTTATAAAAAAAAAATAATAGAAGAATTCACTTGATTCACATTCATTTCCATCTAGGAAGATTGCATTGGATTGGGCTTCCCTCCCCCACGAGAGAACTCAAGCTCTTCAGCTCTATCAAGCACTGCAATCTTGGATTTGTGATTCTTGCCAACCCCAACCTTATTCATATTAGGCAAATTCCGAGGAATCTTGCTAGCTTTTATACTACTAGATGAATTAAGAATCACCTGGCCTGGCTCCAAAACCCTCTCATTACCTACATCAACAGTTTAGAATATATACATATACATGTATATGTGTGTATATCTATAAATATAAATATATATATATATATATGAGCAAATTAAATCAAGTCAAGCATCAACAAATGCATAGATATTTACAAATAAACTGGAAAAACTATACAAAAACAAAAAAACTTCACCGGAAGAACGTTCGTTGAAACAAACTAGCACAAAAGGTGTCATCCAAGCTTCTATATATTGCTACCACATTTTCCACAAAAGGCACGTACCTTACATCCGCCTCACACGATTATCATATAAGAAATATAAGTATAGATATCGGACCAAAACATATAAAACATAGCTCGAGACCAAAACATAAAATGTTGAATAGAAAAGTGGGGAAAACATCAATTTGATCCTACAATAGTACGCTCTCAACTAAATAGTCCTAAAAATAAATAAATTATATAAGTATTCTTAAAATATTGAATACAACTAAATAGTCCTAAAAATAAATAAATAATATCAGTATTCTTAGAATATTGAATATCTATCAGTTTAGTGCCTATATTAAAATGTTATACTAACACCCACTCACTAATTTGAAGGATTTTCTGATGCTTGAAAAATATTCCCTATCATTTCTAATGCAACTGGGTTTACTTAAATAATTTGTTCAGTTTGGGAACTATAGGATCTGAACATGCAGCAAACATACAAAGCTTGACATTAAATTACGTGTTTGTCCATACTTTGCATTACAAACAACACATTCAGAACCAGCCGTTATGCAGTCAACTAAGCATGAACTGCCAAACATAAAATATCCAAAAATTTAAATAATTCCATTAAAGAAACTCGTGAAGTAAATTGGCCAACATATATAATACAATAAAAATAAATAAGTAACGAACTTGCCGAACAAGTGGTTGCATGGAAGTAACACCGGCCACTTGAACAAACCCAAACTGCAAGATCCAGCGCCACCACAAATATCAACAACAACAACAGTAAATCAATTAATCAACTTAGCTACTCAAAATAACAAAAATCCCTCGCCTGTAAAAGCTAAAGTAGCATCACAAGCAGGAAATTAATTTAAATTCAAAATAACTCCACCAACAACCAACACCACCACCACCAACAATAACAACTACAACAACACCACCACCACTAGCAACAACAACTCCCTCACTTCGACCCTACCCTCTCATGATGACTTTCTCGAGCAAATGTTCTTCTCCTGCTCCTGGCCTGACCTCAACCCAAACAAGCCCTTGTGGGACTCCAACCCCCCTAGTTAATAAAACAAACCCTAAACCGATTCACACTGATTAAGAAAATTAGTAAACAAGTAATCCCTAAACCCCAAATTAATAGGAAGAAAAACATTACCTCTATTCAATCTAAGCTAACTGTTGTGTAACCAGAACAAATTTGGAGCAAGATATCCAAAAAATTCTAGAGTTAAGAGAAGCGAAAATGGAGATGCATCAATAAATAGGGGAAATGAAGTAGAGAAAAACAGGAAAAATGAAACAGAGTGAAGAAAGAACCAGATAAATTAGTAGGCTTCAATAAATAATAAGAAATGAAACATCGACCAAGTAACTATGTGAGAAAGTATAAATATTTTGGAGGTTGGTATAAATGATTTTAAAAAATAATAATTTTAGTTTCAATTAAATTTAATATATTGTTACTCATTTTTAAATTAAAAAATTAAATTAATTATTATCAATAATATTATATCAACTTTTAAATTAAAAAATTGTAGCAGTTTAATTTTTTGCCAATAATTATATATTTTTGCCAATAATTATATAATTTTGTGACAGTTTATAAAACTTTTAAAAAAATACTTCTACTAATTAACTAAATTTTTGTTTCTCGTTTTAAAAAAAAATTGGAAAGAGATGAGTAATATATTTTTACTATTTTTAAAGTTTTTTTTTTCATATTATATGTATAATTGTCTTTTTTATTTTATACTACTCGCTCAATTATTTTCCCTTTCTCAACCGTTTAATCAATCACTTCAACCATTTTTTTTTCATTTTTACCCTTTCACATTTTCTTAATATTTTTAAGTTTTTAGTTTTCTCAACCTCGTCAACTACTTTAACAAATATAAAATTATTTTTTTCTTCTAAACATGGTATATCAATTTTAATAATATTTAATATTATTTTATTTAAAATTTATGATTATTAAGATTTGTTATTTTATATTTTTTAATCTTATTATTTTTATTTATTAAATGTTGAATTTTATCTTAATTAAATAATTACATTTTAAAATATTTTAATAATTAATAATTAAATTTTATTATTATTTAATATTAAGTAAATAAAATTAATTTATTAAATATTTTATATAAAATTTATATTAAATATTTATTAATATTTTAAAATGACAACCTTAAAAATAATCATATATATAATAGTATAATGTTATAATTTATAACTATATATAAAAACAGATTATTTTTAACTATTCTTTTTATACTCAGAGAAAAATAAAAGTATCATTATTTTAAAAAAAATTATTATAGTTTATGTATTTAAAAAATAATAAAAAAATATTATCCATATAATTAATGGAAGAAAAAATTGGATAAAAAAAGAAAAAAATAATATTTAAAATAATATTTTTTTTAAAAGTAGTTATAAAAAATATGACCACGTAATAATTTTAACATATGCATACGTTTTTCACTTGTATATAATTATAATAATATTAAAAATATTATGAAAAATAAATATTTTTATATATTTTTTAATATAAATATAATAAATTAAAAATTTTAATTAATAATTATAATTTAAAATTTATAAATATTTATTTATATATAAAAAATAATAGATAAAAAAAATAATAATAACAGAACCCGTCCCACCCACACCTAACACCATCCATCAAAACTCTCTTGTATTTGGGGTTGAATTTGAGTTTCAATTTCTATTATTTGTTTGTATTCATAAATTTTTTCTCTTTCATTATTATTTTTAGTATTGATTTTTTTAAAACCTTTTGAGTTTCAATAACAAAAGTTATAATTATCATGCTGAATAAGGCATAATGTGTGTAGAATAACTCATCTTAAGAAGATTTATTGTTTATATTATCTTTTATCCATGCAACTGGTATTACTCTTCAAAGTAATATTAATATTTTTCTATTCTAGGGTTAAAAATTAATCTTTTATGTATAATTTAGTATCATAGCATCTTCTAAATGTTACTTTGAACTCCAATAAATAGGATACATCATCAGCAATTGTTAATTTAAATTATCAATGCTTTCACAATTTAATATCTATATTAGGTCTTTGTTAAAGATTTATCTTCATTTAATGTTAGGTTTTTTGTTAATACATATATAAGCCCTTATTATTGATATTGAAGTGTCAACAAAAGTAATTTAAAAAAAAAAAAACATCATTTAATAACATACAAAAGTTATTTGTTGTTTTTCTTCCAGTAAGTACCTAACCATTTGACTCTGACATCAACCCTGAAATTAGGGTAACCTTTTAAAATTAAAGCACACAAATTAACGGATATAATTAATGTTTTTCTTAATTAAAATATTCAATATTATATTTAGTTCCTTGCATATATAGTTAATTAAGCTTTTTATTGTTATTATTTCTTAAAATATCAGTTTAAGTATATAAACATTTAAAATTTAAATGAAAAAAAGGATACTGATTAAATGTTTTATGTTTTAAAATGATAGGTAAATAAGTAAAAAACATATCACTTTTTTTACTATTTGTTTTTTGTGATTTTTATAAATTAATATAATAATTTAATTAGATAAAATTTTATTATTTTAAGAAAACATTTTAATTAAAATTAAAAATAGACAATGCAACAATTGACAGAATATTAGAAACTGATAATAGAAATACAGAAATCAAATTCTAAAATGAAAACAATGCGTTAAAAAACAAATTAACAAACGAGGATAAAAAAATAGATAAATCTAATTAATTTTAAGACAAAACACTAATTAAAGTACCCCAAAAAAAGTAAAAAAATTAAAATAAAAGTTAAAAACTGCTAAAGTAAATTTTTATACCATCTTTTTTTATCCACCAAAATTACTTATTTGAGTTAAATCAACTTATAGTATAACTTAATATTTTTATTGTAACTTGTTCTTGTCTCTTATCATAAGTTTTAAAGTTGAGTGTGACGTGTACGTGGCGGTGCTTCCCTGCTACTTCCTACTGTTCTGATAGGAGTATCAGTGGCACCAATTGCATCTCACCAATTTTTTAAGTGATATATGAAACTTCATACAGTATTATCTGTTTAAAACTGAGACTTTGCTTGTGTTGACTTGACTAGATCTTAATCCAGTGTGTGATAGTTTCCTCTTACCTTTCAACAGCTACCTTGCTTGCATGTTCTATACCTTCAAATTGAGTAATGACACCAAAAGTTTCAAGCTTGGAAGCAGCCCAGAAAGCCATAAACTCAATTGGGGTGGGATTTGACATAACACAAGATATAGGTTTTGACAACTGTAAGAAGGGTTCAAGGTTGATATTTGTCAATGAGAAACAGTGCCGTCTTCTTGAGATTCCTGGTGGAGGGGTTTCAATTCCAAATGTCCCTAACTCTATCAAATGTGTTAGAGGGGAATCAATTAGAGTCTGCTCAGAAGTTCTAACCTTGCAACAGGCATGTTAATTATGAATGTGTTACCGTGATTATATATGCTTTGGAAAAATTATCAGCATACTATAGAACACTTTTTAATAATATATTCTCTGTTATTAGCTGCAATTTATTAGATATTACAAAAAATTGTAGGTCTCTCTATTCTTGTTCAACTAATACTAGAGAATTCAATAGAAGAAATATGTTAGAAAGAGAGGTGTTTGCTCTTCTCTTTTTGTACTTGTATTAATTAAACTTAGGCAGATTGTTAATTTTTGTGATCCTTTGCTGTCTTTCAGATGTTGGAACACTTCAACCAGGAAATGTGCCTTGGAGGACAAACTGCATCGGGTCATTTCTGTGCTTCATTTGGGTTATCTAGTCGAAGTCTAAAAGATTTGGCTTCTATCAAGTCTCTTGCTTATGATGGTTGGTTCATCAAACGCTATGCCATTGAATTAGAAAGGTATCATGGTGAACTCCTTGATCATGTCAAAGAAGCAGTGCCATCATCGTGGGACCCTGAGGCCTTAGCAAGGTAAGACACTGGGGCCTTGTAGGAGTAAGAACTAACAAGTTTCTACTCCATGTATCAAAAGGAAGTGTTTTGGCTTAGAAGTTGTGAGCTTCTCTTGCACAGTGTTACCATAAAAATTTTCCTCATGCTCTGCTCTGCATTGATTATTTCCATTATCATGCTCCTTCAATTTATGCAAACTACGTTATGAAGAGATGTCATTAAGTAAACAATTGCAATTGTATAACTGGAATTTCACAATGATAAAATTGTTTTGCTGATTCATGCAAGGTTTATAGAACGGTTTGGAACTCATGTCGTAGTTGGGGTAAGCATTGGAGGAAAGGATGTGTTATATCTTAGACAAGGGGATACATCATATCTGGGTCCTAATGGTATTCAGAAACTTTTGAAGGATACAGCTAACATGAAGTTCAAGGATTCTGCAGATATTCATCGCGGGGCTTCAGAAGACTTGTGTCAAGAAAAAGAGGTGTCATTGCTGTTCTTTATTAACTTAATGTAGCCTTTCTGCAGTTTTTGTTAGAAATAGAAAATAACTATTATAGTAATGAATGGTTGAAATAATTAACTCCCTACCGCTTTGATTATTTATAAATTCTCTCAACTGGGTTTGCAGGATCTTTTCATGATACATAGTAGGAGGGGTGGAAGCGATCAAAAGATGTATCATGATGAATGGTTGGATACTATTGACTCGGAACCTGATGTAATATCATTGTTCCTTCTCCCTCTGACATCCCTTTTGAGAAGCATCCCTGGAAGTGGATTTGTGAGCCATGCCATAAATCTCTATCTCCGTTGTAAGCAATTATTTTATTTTGTGGCTTAAATATTTTATATAACAGTAGTAAATATTTGCCCTTTCTACCTAAACTTCAGAAAATGATCATGTCACAAAAAGTTCTTTTATCCCTACAGATGAAAGATCTAGGAGCTTGTTTGCTTTTAGAAAATGGTTTTCCATTTCTTGTGTACATATTTTATTAAATGCCGCCTTATTTTTACTTGGTTTTTTGAAAACATTTCTCGAACTACACCTAAGTTTTTCTTTAAAGGGGACTCAATTGACCACCTTCCTTTGTTTTGTCTAACACGCTGGAAGAAGTTAGTAAATTGAGTTTTTTTATGGTAGACTTAAACGGGTTATAATGGATAAACTCTAAAAGTATATGATATTCTCTTTCTGAAATTGAATGAGCTGAACCTGTATATAAACTGTGATTGCTGAAACAGACAAACCTCCAATTGAGGACCTTCATCAGTTTTGTGAGTTTCAGCTACCAAGACAATGGGCACCTGTACCTAGTGAGATTAGCCTCGGTTCTCGTTCGAAGCATCAAGTGAACACCTGGCTTAGATTTAGTATCTTGGGTCCCAAGCTTTACATAAATACCATACCAGTAAGTTTTCCATCTTGCACTTTTTATGTGCATTATGAGTTAAAGGTTTCCATGCTTTCAGTGTTTCTAATAAACAGTGAGCAGAAAAATATGTACCTTATTCTCCTTTTTCTTTCTTTTTACATAAAGCAGGCACGAGTAGCGTACATATTTGTTGAATATGCATGTTGTGGTGTGCTGCTTTCTCTCTACTCAGATAGAGTTAATGTGAAATATCATTTCATGATTTAATTATGTATAGTGCAGACTTCTGTTTCTAATGTGATCACGAACTCTGCATTTTGCGTACATATTGATTAGTAAAAGTACTAACATGCTAGCAACTGTTGTCAACTAAGGAGATCTACATACGTTATAAAACAATGAATTTGATCATCTTGGTTCCTCTTCCTTGATCACAGGTGGATGTAGGGAATAGACCAGTAGTTGGGCTAAGATTACAATTGGAAGGAAGAAGAAGCAACCGATTGGCCATTCACCTGCAGCATCTGGCTTCTCTACCCAAGTCCTTACCACTTTCTGACAACGCAAATACTTACTTATCTTGTGACTCATATAACTGCAATTTGCATAAAAAAGTTAAATGGAACTCTTTTTCATACGTTTGTACTGCTCCAGTTGAGTCAGATGATAGTGTTTCAATTGTGACAGGAGCTCAGTTACAAGTTGAAAAGAAGTGTCTCCTTCTGAGGCTGCGCTTCTCCAAAGTAGTTGGTGCCATTCTGCAGAAACCTGAGTGGGATCAATCCTCCAGTCTTGGCCAGTTTAGCATGAAATCTGGGGGTATCTTAGCAATCATTTCCAAAGAGGGACAGAGGGGCCATCCAAAGCCAGGTGATAAAACCATTAGTTCCAATACATATTCTTATGCACGCCCTGCGCCAGTTCACACACCTAAGCTTCAAAGGTTTGTTGACACAACTGAAATGATGAGAGGACCAGAAGATACTCCTGGATATTGGGTTGTGTCTGGGGCAAGGCTTTCTTTTGAGCATGGAAAAATATATCTCCTTGTTAAGTATTCGCTATTATCTTTTGTTATGGATAGTGAAACTGAAGCTTCACAGAAGTGCTTTAAAGATCAATCTACCTTCCTTTCAAGTTAAAGGTGTCTTACTGTCTTAATAGTTAGCCGCTTCTATCATTTTCCTGCAACTATGCAGACAATGACCCACCTTTGACTTCAAATGGAGGTGGAGTGATCATTAAAGCACTTCTCCGAAGCTTCATTCTCACTTTGTAACAAAGGAAAATAGTGAATACTTAACAAGCAGATATATTTTGCCATGCTCTGGAAACAACCCATGCGAATAAAAAAAATAATTTTATGTTACGTGGTAAGTTCTTAACTGATGTCGTGTAACTAACAAAAATTGAATCCATATACATATCAACTGATAGAAGAGTTTGCATGAAAAGGTGAAAGAAAGAATTATAGACTATACATATCATATATGGGTGAAGTAGCATAATTTTATATTTTAATCATGACCTTTTATGATTTGATCTTGTAAGCTCTTATGACTTGATCTAGTAACCACGAATCTATGATTTACTCTTCTCATACTTTTATAGTAAAAATCCTCTCACCTGATATTTTAGTCCTTATATAATACATTTTAGCACTTACAAATATATTTGTAAAATAGTTCCTATAATTGGACTTTATCCCATATCATTACATTTCCTTGTTATGTGATGGCATGTCAATGTATGCAACTTTTTAGTTTAATCATTATGAATATAAACTGGTTTTTCTGAAGACATTCTTATTAAAAGCAGAACAGAGCACAAAAAATGCCCCATGTCAATGCAACACAGTTACAACAACAAAAGAAGATACCACATACAGGAAATGCCTAAAAAAACTCATAACTCATCACAAAAATAAAACCAAAATATAAAAGGTTCTATTTACACCTCTTTTTTTTCTCTTTGCACACGTATACTTCTAAAACATAGTTTCTGAAATATAAAAGATAGTTTGATAAAATAATTTTTGAAATACGAGTATGTCAAGAGTCTAAAAATGCTTATATGTTAAGGACCGTAATTAATATAAAGTTCGAAGTGAACTATCCTTTTGATATCTTCGTTTAATGGTAGGATTTCATAATATTAACCTCAGCATTTTGGGCACAGACATGTACGTAACACTCCTTCACCTTACAAAACTTTTCAAATTTAAATAAAAATTATGAAAATTGAAATTAATGCTTTAAATGAAGATATAAAAAAAAAGAAATGTTTATAAACAAAAAATTTAAATGGTTTGATTTCAATCGAAATGCTCTTATCTTTAAAAAGACAAGACAAAATTTATTTATATTGTCATAAAATATTATTATTTTTTTGTTTATAAGACATTTTTTAATATTTAATTTTCATAATTTTTCATTTGAATTTTTATGAATATGATATTTTAAAATAAAATATAGGAGATAAGTATCATTTCATTAAAAATAAAAGAGAGATGGATGTCTATTTTAAAAAATTAAATAGGTGACTATAAAAAAGTTATTGTAGGGAGGTAAGTGTCATTTAATTAAAAATATAATTAATGTGTATGTTTATTTTAAAACTAAAAAAGATGTGTTATGTCATAACCTCAGGAAGTAAGTTCAATTTTATTTGTAGAAGTTGGATATATAAATCTTAATCATCAATTAATATCTGTCAGGTTAATTATATATAACTGAAGCTATATATTTGTGTACGTAGTGTTATCATATATTTTGTACATTAGCCATTCGATGTCGTTTTTTTTAGTGTGGTAGGAAACAGAGCAAATCTACATATATATATATATATATAGCGCTTCAGTTAACTGGAATGTGTAACCTGCGAGGTTCTAAAGTTGAAATTATTACCTAATGCAACCATTATCATTATTTGGACATAAGAGGCTCAAATCCTAATCACTTTAGCTTGATCCTTTCAGCTGGATAAACCCCTTTTTTAGTACTACTTCTCTTTACTTTCGGGTTAGATTTTTTCTGAATCTTCTCTTTGCCTATGTGACTTGATGCCATACTTGGTTGTGCAGCTTTTTCCTTGCCATTCCTCCTGTCAAACGAAAGGCTACAAAGTCAAATCAATGCACTCGTTAAATCAGCACTACCTGGCACAAAAAAGGGCCAAACACAAACCTTAAGTGCAAAATCATGAATAACAAACCAACAGCAGCTGCACCACCCAAGACTGATCTTAGCAGTTGCTTCTTTTGAGGTTTTGCTTCTGGAATTTCTTCACTTCCCTCCTCTGTTACAACTAAATTTTCTAAGAATTGCGCTCTCTCATCTTCTGGATTTATTTCATCCTACACAACAAAATTGCAATAGAAACTTAATTTACAAACGAAAATGACTGACATAAGCATGCCTAAAAAGGGGTTAAAACGTACTTTAATATGCACCACACGAGTGTCTTCTGAACGGTAGACAGGATCAAATCCATGTTTTGAGCTTAGATTTGTTATGTGTGATTCGGTAAGTGATACAACCTCATCACAGTTGGCAGGAACTACAACATTATTGATTATCATATCTAGAACTCTCTGACCTCCATCTCCAATGTCTTGAGCTGCGTCACCTTTGCAGAAATCATTAGGATCATCACCAAGAGTCGAAGGTTTTTCAAAGTCACCTAAAGCTACAGTATTTGAGGCCGGAGTCAGACAATCGATGTTTAGCTCTTTACCATCAGTGTCCAACTTAACAACGGCGGACTCGACTTCAGAACTTTTTTGTACACAAGGCGTAATTTCCTCATGTGAGCCATCTTCCACAAAACATGATGAACTTCTGTTATCTTTAGATGATGTAATAGCACATTTTCCTTTCTGATCCCATTTACAAGACTCGGGCAAATAATAAGACTGACGGGACAGTGACTCCTCGGATTGGCAGCAACTAGCCTTATCCAAACTCTTCAAACCAACTTGAGAATCTCTCTCTTCATATGCTAGAAAATTTTTCAATGAAGTTGATATAGTGCCATTGCTATGAGGAACAACTCTATTTGGAGAAGTAGTATTGTAGAAATTACAATCACGTGAATATAATGAAGGCCCAGTTTCCTCAAACTTCTTTACAAAGTAAGAATATCCCGCGTTGGAAAAGATTTGATACGGAATTTCCCTATATTTCCCGATGCCTTGAGATTCATGCTCTTCTTTTATCTTGTCCCGTCGATCATTCTCGTCATTGTGCACTTTGAAAGACTCAATATTACAAAAATTGTCCTCTGAATGAACTTGATCTCCCAAGTTCAGATCTTCTCTTGAATAACAGTTCATGCAAGCTACTAGCAGAACCTCCTTGTCCTCGCAAGTTTCAAAGAACTTACCATTTTCAGCAGTCTGTGGAGTTGAATTTGAACCATGAGAGCTCGCACTTTGATATACATTTGGTGTACTATTTTCTTCATGAAACAAATCCGGATTTTTCCAATCATTTTTAATCGAGCTAGCATCCCTTTTACCTGGTGTTTTGTCATTCTTAGGAGTTACAATGGCAGAACCACTACTACTTAATGACAAATTCTCAAAGTAAGCAAAGTCCACAATCCTCCTACTTTCTTCGACTTGTTCCATTTTAGTATCTAAATGAGATGTCATCTCAATAAGGTCATTATGTAAATCCCCTCTACGAGGAGATGATGACCAAGTCAGCTGACAATCATGCTCTATATCATCAGAACAATGATATTGCAATGATTCCATTGAACATAACAATTCAAAGTCATCATAAATTCCATTTCTCTGTTGGTTTTGGATGTCCAATTGATCTAAATCTTCGGGCAAATAAACACGTTCAACCATTGGAGAAGCTATGTTGTAGTTAATGTCTGATGTATAATCATAAAATTCACCAGTGTGCAAGTTATCAAATTGAAGTACTGGATGTTTGTTTTCTGGGTCCTCAGATTGATCTGAATATGTCTCATAGTCTTTGGTGGAGGTTGTAACTGGGTCCTACAAAGTCATCATGCTTTAAAAACAAATACCAAAATGATTTACTAAGTAGAAGCACAATGTACAGCACATGACATTCACATAGATGCATACTCATTGGCAATTTATTCATTTATTCTTTTGAGGTTAAATTGGATGGAAAACACTTGGACATAAGGGGATATGTAGATTGGTGGGGAATTAAACCTCAGAGACTATTGTCACCCAAGCCTTAAAAGAATTAGGCTTGTGTCAATTGAGTCACAAGCTCGTCGTTGGATTGTAGCAATTTAATATTTGTTTCAAATCATTAGTTAATTCGAGGACAAACCTGTCTAGATTTTCTTCTTGCACGTTTTTGTATGTAATAGCTACCAGCGGAATCAGCAGGGATGCTGTGCGATAGTTCTATGCTTCTACGCATGCACCCAACTAAATCTTTAGGCATGGTTACCATACAGGTCACAATGTCAAAATCTGGAACCTGTCACCACGTTTTTTCATTAGCAAAAAACCATTATTTAAAGAATAAAATTACAAGGGCGAGTAAATTAAGATGCTTTGGAATATCAAGAGACTTTATTACATTTATATTCAGAGATCTTGATTTTTTGGAGAATGACCGTATACACATACAAACTTTTCGAGTATTTCTTCTCTCAACTACATCTGATGGAGAAAAGAGGTCAACGCCTGTCAATCCCAAAATTTTGCAAATCTGCAAATTAAAAGATACTGACATTACTTTCATAGTTTTTATCTGTGTACATCATTCAAATGTTGGAAATATCAATGAATAAAACGAGACTTCAGAATTTGTCTTTCTCGCATTCTAATGTTTACATCAATAGATTTTCCTATTTCCTAACAAGTCAGTATCAGCTTAAATACAGAGATTTCAAACTAAATAAACTTGATATAATGTGAAGATCAATAATTGTTCTGCGTCTCCATTTCATGAGTAATATTAGTAATCATCAAGGTGATGCAATTCAATTACACAATATTACAGAACATTAAACACATTAGAGAGCGAATGTAAGAACTAAATGGTTGAGCAGGACTTCTTAATATACAATCCCCGTTACTGCACTTCAATTTGGATTCAGATTACAAAAATCAGATTTAATATTGAGGAAATTTGCAAGTTTCAGTGTAATAATGAAAATGTAAACTTTACTTTTCTGTTAATTTGGTCAAAAAGTACTCTAACTATATTCATTTGTAAGTAAGGAAAATAATAACAATCCATCCCTTAATTTGTCAAAAGGAAAGATGTGATAATCCAACATGTTACCTTTAGAAATGAATCAACATTAGAATAAGGCCTATATCTCGCGATGCTCTTCTTAGAAGTAAATGACTGGATTTTGTATGCTTTTATATGCCTTAGCTCCATATGCTTTGCCAACAGCAATTTCCACACCACTTTTGACACTTGAAACCTGAAAACCATTAAAACTGTAATCAGATTAGAAGCAATTTAAATATTAAAGTGCCAATGCAGGATCTTCTTGTGTAATGCCTCTTTGGTTTGGAGTTAAATTCTGATCAGAACAAGAAAGAAATCCATTCTTTAATTTTCATATAAAAGAGATAAATTAAATTAATAAAAAAAAATCAATTTATGTTCTGATGAAGTCAAATTCTTTCATAATGAGTTTATTGCACATGTAGATTTTCCTAGAAAAATAAGAAGGATTTACCTACTATAAAGGCTGATTTGCTTATGTTTGAACAAATAATTTTTGGTGTAATTTTTATCCAGAAACTACCATGTTCAATTTATCAAAGAAGTATTAAAACAATTATTTTTCAAGGGTTTTTTTTTCTGAATAATGTATATAGTTATTGTAATTTTTCGAACACATCTTTTAATTTAAAAAAAAAAAAAAGTATTTTCCTTAAAATAATACAAACAGATAGGTCCAAAAAAAATTTCCAATTCCATCTATTTTCCATCCAGGTAGTGACAATCATGCCTTAGTCGTTATTAATGTTTTTTTCTCAAATTCTCTCGAGTGGCATCCTCAAAAGAATTAATTATCTACTACCCATAATTAACAGGAAAAAAAAGAATCAACTTATCTGTCTTCTGAAAGGATTATTACCATGATTAATGTAGCTTTTAAATTTTAATAAACTAGATTTACACATAATATATTAAGAATTAGTTTTTTCAGAATAACTCGAACCTAATAAATTAACAGCAATAATGATCATACAAAAATAAAATCTATAACAATATTGTCCATCAAACATATTATGAACATACGTACAGCAATTCTCCATCAGCAAGTAGTTCTGATATAATAAGTTGCTCATCTAGTCGTATCTGCAATACTTCTCCCAGCCAAATCCTGGTTTGAGTCTGCATATTGGAAAACAAATTAGCTACAACTATTATGAACAAACTATATATCATCTAAAAATTAGTTACAAGAAAAAGGAAAGAAAACAACCTATAATTATATAAAGTGTAAGATTATTTCCGAACAATGAAGCAAAGAACCAGTGATCAATTTTTCAGAGGCATAGGATGAAAAACAATTATGATTCTCTAGTGATTAAACATTTGATTATGTGTTTCTCTAGCAACTTCTATATATATATATATATATATATATATATATCTGCGTGTAATGAATACATTAATTCAACCTTTAACATTATTACATGGTTTAAAAGCTGAATGCAGTCTTGCCAACCGAAGAGTCCAACATTACCACCCCAAACTCAATATTGAAGAATAGAAATCTCATAAATGAACAAAAGATGTTTCTTTTTTAGTCTAATTTTGACATAATTGAATTACAGTGTTAAGAAAACTTCTACTATGTAGTCTATTCCACTCTTCTTTTCTTAGGGATAATGTCAGAAATTACCTTTTCCTACAAATTCTCTACCAGTATCAAGTGGCTATAACTATGGATACTTTACTACAATCATTAACATCCATAGAAATTCATTTATGTATATCTCAACTTTTCATTTTCTCACAAACCAAACTTCACCCTTCCATTTTTATATACTTATTTCGTACTGAAATATAAGTAAACTATTAATTATTACATTAATAAAAAAAGTGGTCAATATTAATTACTTCCACCAACCACAATTAAAAAGTAAACTTGTTTTTAAATGTCAAACTTGATATAAATAATAGAAGTAATTACAAATAAAATCTCCATTGAAGAGTATATTTAGAAATATAAGTTTGAGAAAGTAATTACCTAATCTACCAGATCAAAATGAAATCTATTAAATGTAGATAAAATTCATATAAAAAAAGAGCAATGTATGTTTTCCTCTGCCCTGTTCGAAGGACTTCGACGCAATAACACGCATAAGCATCACAGAGATATACAACATTTGATAGACACAACAAAGTTGATATGCTCAACATAACTTCATATCATAGATATACAATCCTAAATCCAAATCATCAAAATGCTTTGATCTAAGGTAGCACAAGAACAAGAAAAAAAAAAAAAAAATATATATATATATATATATATATATATATATATATATACACAATTCTCGTCTTCCACCGTTTGGCTTACACTATCAATCAACCACAACACAATCCGATTCTAAAAGTGAAAACAATACACTAATCGGTTACTAAATCGCAATAAGAAGCAACCATAAAATCAGTGACAAAGAGAGTAAGAGACCTGGAGGAATGCATCATCGAGTTGGCGAAAGTTGGATTCGGCAGACGAAGAAGACGAAGCCATGAAGAGCTCCGACGACGGAGCAGTTTGCGATGAAGAAACCTCACAAACCATTGCTCTGTTTCCCCCCAAAACTGACACCCCCAATCCAACGCGTAAGCAAAACCCGACACGCTTTTATGTACTTGTATGTGTGGGTGTGTAGTACGTAACAAGGTTTTACTACCTAGTACATTTTAGTATCGGTTTGGTTTGTGTTGTGTCATTGTTTCTGCGACGGACAAAAAGTGGTGTGTCACAAAAGACACCGATGATTCTGGCTTGTGGGCTTTTGGTTATCCGTAGAATGGAACAGAAAAGGTCTGAAAGGTGAAATGAAACACAGTGTTGTTGTTATTAAGCCACACTTCCTATTCACAACCACGTTTTTCGATCCTTTGTTTTGTTTCGGACAATTTTTGGTCAACCACACTTCTTATCGTTGTTATTACTTCTCTCTAAATAATTATCTTTATGTGTGAAATGCGAGCACTGATTAGTTTGCAAAGAGTATTACTTTTACATCTAAGATATATCCCTTATTATATTATATGCCATGTTTTGAGGAGTTAACGATGTTATAATAATATAATAACTCGTAGGATTTTCAAACGGCATACTTTGACTTTATTATTTCAATTGATGAGAATAAAAGGCATTCTCATGGTCCCACTATCAACTTTTGTATTATTATCAGGGGTACATGAACTTATAACAAAATTTATAAAAGATTAATTAACAACTAATTTTCTGACATTTTTTTTTTATTTATGAGGTAAGAATTATGGTGCCTTCCTTTGTTTTAATGTCTACATTGATTAGCTTGGAATGGAGAAGGCGTGTTGGGTTTTTACGATGGGAGAGTTATTCATGTGACTATGGCATCTAACGTTGTTACGTGTCCTCTCTTTACGCACTACCTCAAATCTTGTCTCATATGAAATGATTGATAGATAGGGTTGTAGCTCAGAAGCTTCCACCTAACTCCAATCCTGCAAATGGAAACAGAAAATAAAATATGAGTGTTTTTGTTTGTATGGTGAAGGCATCATCTTAAGTGTTTTATTATATCATCATCATCATCTAATGATGGATTAGTGTCTAAACTAATTGTTAACTTTTGCAACACGACATATACTAGTTTGAGTAATCTTGAAAAATCAATAGAAGCCCAATATCAATTTGGGTTGTTGATTGTACCTTGTCAAGCTAAAAAGGCCCAATATCAATTTGAACTAAGTCTAAATTCAGCCATAATGGATTAGTGTCTAAAAGAAAATCAAATGTTTAGATAAACAAAGTTCTGAAACATGGGCTTTGTGATGTTGTCATGTAAATAAAATTGCACTAAAACAATTTTTTTGAAGCAAATACATATTTTTCTAAAATTAAATTTATTTGAGTCAACTACGACCACAATAAACAAATAAAGTAAATTTTGTTCTTTCATTACAAAAGTTCGGAAAATCAAAATTTTGTTTTTAATTGTAATTTCGATTCCTATATTTACAAAATTCACAACTTTTATCCCTAAAACTTTTTTTTTCAACTTAGTTATTTAATTTTTAATTATCTGTAATTTTGATCACTGAATTTTGATACGCAATCTTGATCTTTAATTTGTAATTATATTCTCTCTTTTTTTCAAATTTAAAAACCACTGTCAAATTACAATTGATGTAATTGTCACCTTGTTCGATCATATAAGAAAACGTTGAGTATGGGCGTTTTTATCAATCTCTTCATATAATTTTCAAATTAATTAAAACTACATATAATAGAACTAAAAATTGATTCAACTTGTAGATAGTTAAAATTTAAAGAATTGAACTTATATGAAAAAATTTCAATAACCAAAACTATTGATAATTAAAAGTTAATAAACTGAAGTAAAAAAAAAAGAAATCAAAAGTTTTAATTTTTATAGAACATAAGAACCAAAATTAGAATTAACCTATATTCAAATAACCACAAATAAGTTAATGGTTGAAGTGACTTTTTAAAGGGTAGGGAAATGAGGTTAAGAAACTCTTTTAAGTGACATCAAAGTCAAAAGAGAAAGAAAATGAATAAAAAAATGGGATGGAGATAATTATTGTTTATAAGAAAGTTCATATGCAAACAAAATTTTCACCACCTAATGGAACTTTTTTTTTTTTCTTCTTTTTATCTTGACTACACAATAATTAAATTAAGCATGCCTTTTCATTGGAGGGAGGTGTCTAATCACGCGTGGCTATTAATAGTTCATTTAGGGCATGGCCCACAATAAGTTAAGTTAAATGGGCGGCTATTGAGTTATTGGGCTACGACACAGTACACATTTGTGACCCAATTTCATAGATCCAACTGGGTTGGCCCTGCTTACCAGAATAAAATAATGATTTTTTTATTTAAAAAATAATTTATGATTTAAAATAATCTAAGGAGCGACAATAAATTCTTTGGAAACTTTATTCATGTCATTTTATTTATATTATTATTATTATTATAAGTGATGAAAATAATTTATAGATTTTATTTTAAGAATTTTACAATCTCATTTTTTTAATGGTTTACGTATTTATGGAAATAAAGGTTATTATTTATAATAAATATCTGATTTTTACACTTTCTTCCATTTTTTAAGTTATTAGATATTGAATAAATATGTTTTATGTTAATAATATTTTTAAGTGTAACATTACTAAAATTATACCAAGAAACAAGCTTGTTAGTAAGATATGGTGTTAGTATATTCATTTGCTATTTTATTTTTCTTCTCCTTAACTTCACTTTTCGAAATGAAAAACACACCTAAGATGTATAGAACACTAATAACATTACGATAACTAAAGAGGTCATGATGTTAAAGAGACCAAACAAAAAACACACCAAATAAGGTCAAAACATCATGGAATCATGTTAACCACCATGTTAAAACACACCGACTATACCTTTTTTCATTAAATTTTTTATTTTATATTTGTAAAACTGTACATCATGAACTGATAAAAAAAAAAATTGTTCCTTTATTCGAAAAAATTGATTTGCAAAATACACAGTACATAAGCTATTTTCTTTTGTGTTAATATTAAAAACAATTGGTAAAAAGACAAGGAAAAGAGATTCAATTGATGACGAAAATTAAAATTGAATGTTATTTTATGGAAGTAATGGAGAGTGTTGTAATTTATTATGTCGTTATGTGTTTGTTGTTGTTTATTAACGTTGTGATTTGTTCTTCTGTGCATCGTTGATAAAGCAGCATCATTTATTCGGTGTAAAATCATTTGGTCAGAGTCATGGAGCCACTCCTTTATCATTACAACAACCTTTCAAAATTCACTCAAAAACCTCTTATTTTGTAATATAATACAGTAACTTTCCATTCATGATGCGATTAATCTGAGTAATTAAAAAAACAAGATCTTTACAATTGTTGAGAGTGGGATTTGAACCCACGCCCTTTCGGACCAGAACCTTAATCTGGCGCCTTAGACCAACTCGGCCATCTCAACTTAGTGATCTTGGTAGAAAAATCAAGACTTCTATTAGAGATTTCAGCTCATCAATCTGAAGAATGTGGAGGAAATGAGTCCTTTTAAAAACTGTTTTTAATGTTATTGAAATGTAGGAATAACAAAATGGATAATTTTTTTGTTGATTATTTATATAGTGTAGCTTGTATCAACCAAGCAAGCACCAATAAGCATCAAAGGTATATAAAATAGGAAAATTTACGTAGTGGCAATACAATCAGATTAGAATGGTGGTGAGCGATGCAGCTCAGCTCAACTTTTGTGTCACTGATGACTAAGAATTGGGAGGGAAGTAGTTAAAATGCACACACAATGATCCAATATTGGAATTCTATTTACCACATTATGGAAAAGTGAGCAACAAAAGAAAAATCAATGAGAAAAAATATTATATAAATAATGAATTTGTGAGTGGGTGAATGAAATCCAGTGTTTTCAGAAGAAATAGGAAGCCAACGACAGATACCAGGTAGGTACTAGGCAGTGCCAGATTCAGTATAATTACTATTCTACAACTACAAGGATGTTTCACTGGCAGTGGTGTCGGACACAGGACATGGTCACGCTCAAAAACTGCCAAATCACAGCAGCTGCATAGGATCTGTTTGCCAACACAAAATCCACTGTTCTCTTCCTCCCTCTGATTTGACCACATGAGATAGATATCAAAATCGCCATTCTCTTTTTTTTGTCTTTGTGGGGTCACTTATTGAGTGAAGCGGAGACTTCTCTTTCAAGTTCCATCATTTTTCTCATTATTAAAATGCCGAGGCATAACATGCATAAATACCTATCAGATGCCATCAGGGTCCACACACAGGTCCACATTGACGTGATTGTTTTTGTCGTCTTCTTTGCATTCTCCTCTATGTATTGTTCAAAACAAGCAAAAGGTACATCACCATAACACTGTATTATTGTTATTCTGCTTTTTCAAACTTCGTTTTTCCAAGGGCATCCACAACCAACGAAACACCCACCTCTTCCTTTCTCTCTTCTGCTTTTCTCTTCTTTTTATGCATTGCTACTGAAAAAGTTTTTTGAAAACCCGTTTGAATGCACATCGCAGAGACAGAAAGAGAGAGGTTGAGGGCCACCAGGGAGGGCCCTCTGCAACTTTTCTTTCTAACAGGTATACCGTCTCTTTTTCATTGCTCCAACAAAAAATGTATGTTCAATTCAATTCTATTATCAATCTTTTGACTGTCTGTACAGTTATTAACCCCCCTCCGGGTCAATTTGAATCTCTCTCCACACCCCACAATGTCTACATCCATAACTAAAGCAATCAAAATAAAGAACTCTTATCACATGCCCTGTACAAGCTAGTGTGACAATCCCTCTCCCCTCCCAACAAAAGTGAAAAAAAAAAAATGTCATTCGTGTCCAACTTTCTCTCCCCCTCCGTTTCAATTTTCAACCATCATACTTGCAATGACTATGAGAAAAATTTCGTCATCAACAACCATAATGTTTTCCAAGTCCACATGTGTGTTTAAATCATCCATGTATGCAGCAGCATTCCCTGGTGCATGAAATGTGTCACCTTAGCAAGTCAGAGTTGGTCCCGTATATACTCCTTTGCCTCCAAGCACATCATTTGTCATTTATCCTCTACAAAGATTCTGTGTATGAAATCCCTGAACCTTTTGGAGTATAGCTTGGGATCAACGGCTGATATAGAGGTGGAGTCCACTTGTAGTGACTTGTATGCATGTTCTATCTTTTTGCTTATATCATAGTCTTGGAGAATGTCAATGATACCAAAGTAGAGGATTACATCAGAGATCTGGCTACTACTCTCCGAAGGGGTAGAACTAGAATTGCCACTTCCACTACCCGTTTGCTGATCCAATCCAGCCTTACACACACTCTCAGCTCTGGCAGGCATGTTCATTCCCAGCCGGATCAGCGGTCCCCTGGAAAAACAAGAATCAGAATTATGCATCAAGAATTTACAAAAATTTGGATCCTAACCAGCTGTCATTAAGAGGGACAAATGGAAACAAAATTACTTGAGTTTATTGGTTGGTTTTATTGTCAGAAGTACTAATAATTTTCCTAGAAGTGACTAGATTTATACTCTCTACGGGGTTAAAAAAGAATGGTGCATCGTTTACAAACCATGAAAATATTTATCATCTGTTACAGGTACATAAATATATCTCACACGTCTCGTGTCCTAGAAAACATTCTGATCCATCAAAATCCATGTCAGCTACCATTTGGCTGTTGAAAAGAAAGCAGTGCCCTCACCTAAAAAAAATCAAAGAGACCCCACCAGCGTTTGTTTCAAATGTCAACAAAAACTAACTCTAATTTTTGCAGTACAACTCGTGTCACTTTCGGTGCATTTTAATTCTCATCCATTGCGATCGTATTCTTAAAAAAGAAATCAATAAGTCACACCTAAGTCATAGATGGATAGGACTAGAGAATTGCAAATATGATGCTCATTCACCAGCTACTGATTTGTTTGTACCCAACTTGCGGCCACATCCTCTTGGCATTTTGCAGAAGCATGGGCCAAATTGAAATTTAGAACAAGAAATCATTTAGTCTCTCTGCTTGTTCTAGAACCGGGACCATATAAACCTCAAGGACACGACACATTGGATACCAACGGGTACAAACAAAAGAACGATGTTAAAGACAAAATGCTATGCCCTATAAATAATCTAGGAGTAACATTCATTAACTGAGAATTGGTGTATAGTTAAAATAATCCAGATTCTCCTGTTTGACCGTATTTGTACACCAAATGCTGAGTTGGAATTGACATTAATAGTTCAAGCCAGAAACTGACAGAAAGCACATCAAGATTTCTCTATATCTTCAACCATTGTCTTCTATTAAATAATGAAAGAAAAATGCAAGATATTGCGAACAGTGTAATTAAAAAGAGAAATTATAGACTTGTACCAACAAGGAGGCTTAAATGTGAATAAAGAGAAACAAAAAACGTACCGGCATGTGAGCATCTCATCGTCAAGCATGTCTCTCTTGCCTGGTAAATTAATAACCCAGAAAATTTTATACCCCTCCAGGATTTAACATATGAAGAAGAAACCAAAAACTACAAACTATGCAAATACCTGAATACGAATTGCGAGGTGAACTTTTCATTTCCTCAACCGTGCAATCATCTCGAAAATGCAGGCCAATTAGAAGACTGTAATCCATGATTCCCTCTGCTTCCAAGAACTCACAGTCTCTATCGAGTTGCCTAAGCATAAGCCATTACACATAACAGTTAAGACCAGCTTTTAAGTAAGAAAATATAAAATGAAAACTCAGAAATAAAAGAATATGCAACTTGGCAAAATCTATACCGTATAAGCTCTTGAAACCAAGACTGTTCCAGGCGAAAGACAAAATTAAGATCAAGGTCTTTGAGAGTGGTAGTCTCATCAATCTCCTCTCTTGGCTTATCCGTTGTTCGACCATGAGAAGAACCTTTCAGGTCAAACCTTTTGTGGATCCGGTACTCGGAGCAAAACACATTGCCCATTACAATAAACCGGGTCTGTTTAATCCATGGTATCACAACTTTGCATTACATTTTGACCAGCATTTAGATAGAAAATAAGCCACCTTCATACTTGCCACAAAACTAAAATAAAAAACCATACCTTTTGACCTCCAACAGGTTTAACACAATGCACACCCAGGAAAGCAGTCACCAAGGAGTTCTTGTACAAACAAACATGTTTGTAGTAGCTTGGAAGCATCCTAATGAGCACCTGACATCGACACCAAAAACTCACTATTGAATACCCACAAAACAACAAGGTAAACCAACCAACCAAAGCTGAAAGCAAAATTTCACCTCACTTGATTAATAATGTCTATAGTTCTGTCTAGTGTCTTCAAATTAATGAATGCATTCCAACTAACTAACCTTGACTTCAGACTTCCTGACAGTCTTAATTATGAAGCGGTCATCTTGAGTGAGATAAAAGATGCTTCCACTTTTTCCCGGAGAAGACATCTCCCTTAGTGTGTCACTTCCGCAAATAGCAAGCATGTAATCCGCAGGATCTATGGCAAATAATTCCCTTAGATGTCTAAATACCCAACCAACAAGTACCCACCAAGACACAGACACAATTAGTATACCATCCACGACCAATAACGAAACCTTCTTTACTAAGAAAGAAAAAAAAAACATTCAAAGCAAAGAAAGTTGTTGATGTTCACACCTGAACACCATGGGACAGTAGTCTTTCCACCTGAAGTCCACTGAATGCTGCTGGGGTGTAAACTTAGACCCTTCAAGAGGGAACCTCGTCCAGAACTTCTCCTTGGGATCAAAATCCCCCGGTCTAAGCTCTCTGACTATAGAAGCATGCTTGGCAACAGTGTATCTACAACAAAAACACCTTATAAAAAAAACTGAAATGAAACAAAAGATAGCAAACTCTAAAAGCAAAAACAACAATACCTAATACCCAGTTGAAGACTAAGGATAAGATCATAATTCTTATGCCCTCTGCACACAGTTTGACCAGGCTTCTTAACGTCACCACCAGAACCATCAAGAGACCAACAAGGACTCTTCTGAAGAACCCCACACCCATTATTATTATTAATAATAATATCATCTCCACCGTTCTCAGACTCACTGGTACTGGTACCATCCCTGTAGAACAGAGAAGCCTCAGCATTGTGAACAATGTCACAGGTGATGTCCCCAGCTTCTCCATCCAACTCCCAAATACAAATCCTGGGAAAACTCACACTCCTGCACCCATCCACCGAACTCCTCTTCATCTTCTCCTCACGTGCCTCTTCCATAAACTCCTTCCCCCAGTTCCCCGCGCACGTGCTCCCATCACACCACGTGAAAACACCCTTTCCCACAGGCACACCATTCTCCCAAAACCCCTCGTAACGGTTCCCATTTGCCCACACCAAAAACCCCTTCCCCGAAATGACACCACTCCTCCACTCCCCCACATACTCGTTCCCGTTCCTCCACGTGTACCTCCCCTCCCCCTCCTGCAAGTTGCACCTCCACCAACCTTTATAGACGTCCCCATTGCCGTACCGTTTCTCGCCGAACCCGTGCTTTCTGTCGGCCACCCAGGAGCCTTTGTACATGTCGCCGTCGACGCCGATGAAGGATCCAAACCCGTCTATCCGACCCGACTTGAATTCCCCCTCGTATGTGGCGCCCGAGGGCCACGAGAACCTCCCCTTGCCACAAGCTTTCCCCTTTCGCCACTCCCCCTCGTACATGCACCCATCGGACCAGAGGTACTTCCCGGTGCCGTGCGGCGCGTTTCCCGACAGGGTGCCGCTGTAGATGTCGCCGTTCGGAAGAGACTTCTCCCCGACAGGACTCACGCGCCGCGACACGCGAGTGGTGGAGTGTCCGCCGCTGCTACTGTTGCTGTTGCTGCTATGTTCGGTTCCTGGTTGTTGCGGTTTCTTCTTCTTGGCGCGAATGTGGATGTCTTGGTGGTGGGAGAGAGGGAGAGTGAGGAGCGTCTCTTGCATGGTCTCTCACCGGCGGCGGAGTGTAGCCGGAGAGTTAACCAACGGCGGCAGCATCTCCGGCAAAACGCAAAAAAGAAAGAGAGAAATTATGACAAGGAGTGAAGAGTTTTTGGTTTGGGTTTGCTTTGGAGCTGTCTGGGCTTCGTTTTTTCAACCATTGCTGCTGCAATGCTTTGTTTTGCTTTTTACGGTTTGTTTTTTCTTTCCAACATGTACGTCAATATTGTACTAACGATGTTTTTTTCGTTCGCTATTTCTCCGTCACCGACGTTACCTGTGTGTTTGTGTTTGTGTCTGTGTCGTGTATTCTTCTTATCACAATATTAATATCATTATTATACGTAAAGTTTTTTGTAGTTGTAACGAAAGATAAGAGAGAGAGTGTGTGGGCGTAACACCACTAGTGCGGTTTTGTGTTTGTTAGGTGACGGTGGTACTGCGTGATGGCATGATGCAAAAAGTCACGTTTCAATTTTCAACCGGAAATAGGGGAGAAACTCCTAAATGATGTAATGCATAAAACTACGACAATCTCAAACCTTGTACAACATGACAAAAGGAAAAGGAAATTATATTCCAATGATGATTCATCCCTATTCAAATTGCATTTATCAAACTCACATCACATGCATGTTTCAGGTTAACCACGAAGGTTAAAAAATTGATTACAAATTTTAATTGTCTTGACAAAATGCAATTGGAGACATGGGTGGAGAAGTACTTGTGAGGATGATTGGGTAGGTCGAATTCACATAAGGCATTAAGAAAAGTGTGTCACTTTGATCTGTTGATAATGTCGGCCAAAAAAATAGAGCGGAATAAGATGATGCATGATGCATCGTATCAGATCGTAGCTCCATATTTTGGGTCAATGATTTCTGGGCCACACGGTGGCCTTAAAGACAAGAATCCAAATCATCAACCAACTAAATTCCACAAGTATCATTGTGATTCCTTCGTTTTTAAAATACATAACAATCATTTCTGCTTCTCCTTCTTTTGGGACTTTTGTTCTTTATACTTGGTTTTTATGCCCACATGTTGTTTATACTTCCTACCACCCCCTCACCAAACCCGAGTATTTGGGTAAATCGGAAGAGGGAACTATTATTCTACTAATATACTTTCTTTTACTTTTCACCCTACACATTTTACTTAACTATGAAAGTTTTAAAGTAACAAATCTTTGTCTATATATATCATCAAAAGTCATTACTATGGTATCAAGAAAAAACTTGTGTTACATAAATTTAAAATTACCTATATCAATGCTACTAGTAGGAGATGTTTATGGTCACAAAAGTCTTAATTAGGTTATTTTAGTTTTTGCTCATGAACATACACATAATTCATTAATAAAGTGCTCTCCTACGATCACGGGCACCACCATGACATGATCCAGACCTACGAAGTCACACTCACTAACTAATATTTCCACCGAATAAAACTCGAAACCAAACAAAATTTCAGTCAATGGCGATTAACATAGTTCATTACGAAAGAAAAATCTTTTTTTTTTCTACATATAATAAGAGAACAAATCTTCTCGTATTTCCCAATTATTGAAAACAAATTATTCTTCCATGTGTTATAGTTCAGTGAATGACATAATTTATTTGGTTTTTAAAATATAATTAATGAGAGTATCAGTCAATATAATTTGACTAATAAAAAAATTATATTATAAATTCATAAAGGTTGTGACAGTGATATGTGGGTGATTGTTATTTGTAATTATGGAAATTCAAAAGAATGTTAATATCTTTTATCTAAATGCACTTTTATATATTTTTCTAATTAAAAAAAAAAAAGTATGAATTTTCATATTTATATTTGTAAAATTTTGACCCCGAACATTACATTATATTTGTCCCTATGAGCATTTTCTGGGTATAAGAGAACATAGTAACATTTATACACACAACTTAACCACCCTTAAAAGATAGACATTTAATAAACATTGGGTCAGAAAAAAAAAAAAGGAAAGTTTTTCACCTAATTGGCCCAAGTATACTTCTTTTTTGTGCAGTGTCACCTAATTGGGCTGAGCCCGTTATCCTATTTATTTACCATTTTTATAACGTATGTTTCCTTTGGTATTTTTTATGTGTCAAAATGGGTAGGAATAAAATAGACTAAGATAAGTAAAAATAATTAAGTGTAGTAATTTAGTAAACATTAATAGATAAAGCTTAATGTCAAACTATAATATAAAAATAAATAAGATAATACTTTTTTTTAAAGTTAGTGAATTAGATATTGAAAATTTTATAGCTAACTTACTTGAAAATTTATATTATTTTATCAACAAAACTAACTATTTTTTCTTTTTAGTTAGATATTGTAAATTGATTAGAAATTATTCAAAATCATTAAAAAGAAAAATAAAATCTGTTAAAAGAATATCAAACCAATCACCATAAAGATCTATGTAGTATGGCTCAGTGTGGAGGCTTGCTTGATTCAGTGAAAAGACAAAGAATTTTTAAGAAATTTTGAATTTACGCAACAATTTTCGATATGGGACTCAACACATTGTATTAAGCTAATTAGCCTCTGATGGAAATGCAAAAATATTAAAGAAAAAATTTACACGTGTTAGGCCAATCATTCCCGTGCTAGGTATTCAACACGATCATGCTATGAGTTAATAACATGAAAAAAAAAATCATATTTTATTTTATTTATAGTTTTTAGTTTTCTTAATATTTATGACTTTTATCTTAATTTCTGAAAAGAAAGAACTTTGAAGAGAAAGTGGAGACAAATTTCAATTTTTTTTTTTACTTTTCCCCTTTTTAATTAATACTTAAATTTTATTGGAGTTTTATTGTAGTTCTCTCATGAACCTTAGTTTTTTTTTTTATTGTTTGTATTTACTTAATTGATTGTTGAACTTTAAATTGATTTATTAGTCAATTAATTTTCATAACCAAATTGGTTAATTGCGACTCTTAAGATAATTGAGATTAAGATTTTTTTTCTGGATCAACCTTAATTTTTAATGTTCTTCTATATTTTATTTCCACATGATCAATACGAAAAGATCAAATCAATATACACGATGAAAACTAATTGAATACTAATAAAATGTAAATCAGATAGAGTAATCAATTGGAAGCAATTTTATGTCTAAGTGAAAGCGTAATCCTAAGTTTTAGTAATTGTTTAACTCTCGTAGATTTTTTTTTTTATATTATTTATTTTTTTAAGTTTTTTTACTCTCTTTTTTAATAAAAAACTTTGACTGCAAAATACAAAATTCAACAACTGTTACATATATTGAAATCAAATCATTTTTGTTCTATTAATTTTGTATAGTCATTCTAAAATCAAAGTAATACATTCGTGAGACTCAAATTTTTTTTTAGAAATTAAAATTTATTTCTTGCCAAAAGATATGACTAATCTCATACATAAGATGATTAATTCATTTTCATAAGAACAATGAAAACTTCATTTCTTCTTTATTTAATGACGAAATAAAAAGTTAATAACTTCATTTATGTACTTTATAATTTTTTTTATCATTTCATAAATCTTTAATAATTAGATTGATAAATATTATATACCAATTTTAAATATATAATAGTTAATGTTAAATTGTTAATGGATATATTTATTATGTAGTGTGTTAAAAAGTTTTAAATCAATTACATGATATCATGTATTTATTCTCATTTGTAAAATTGTTAATTTGTGATGTTTTATAAAAACTTAATTAAGTATTACATTATCGATGTGAGACTAGATATTATATTAATAATGTGAAACTATATATACATTATTGATGTAAGATAAAACATTATGTTATTGATGTGAGATTATACATTACGTTATTGGTGTTAGATTAATATTATATTATTGATTTGAGACTAGACATTCAATTATCGATGTGAGTCTTGGACAAAATATTGAGTAATGTATTATCAGTGTCGAACTCTATTTAAATGAACATAATATAAAACTATCAAGTGAGACTTTGTTAGCATGTCAGAAGAATGAGACAAGATTTGAAACCCTACTGAGAGGGACATGCCTCACGGGTTGAACTTTTCGATAAGGTCTTTTGAAGAAGTCAAGTCAATCACGGGTTATCAAACTCTATCTTGACCTAAATATTATTTCTCTTATGGAGAAAATAGTATCAAAGTCGTTATTCAAATAACTTCATTTATGAATGAATAACTACTAAATGAAATTGTTTACTAAAGGAGGAGTGGAAGATACATAGCCAACTAATGAGGCCACAAGGGTATTAAAGTTTAATCATTATTGAGTGAATCTTTAATTTAATGTTATAATTTAATTAACAAAATTAGACACATATGATTACACATATATGAGGATATCTCAAATTAATTGGATCATATTTGAAACTTGAAGATGAACTTTAATGTTAGAGGCAATATTATCCTTAATTCATTAGATCAAATCTGAAATATGAAGATGCATTCTGACAATGAATTAAATGTGTTACAAGTAATGAACAAATATAATTAGATTAAAATTGTTTAAAAAGGTGTTGATAATTCTATCATAATAACACAAAGAAAAAAGTTATAATAATGACTAGATTATAGGTATGATCTTTAAAACGGGCTTAAGATATCATACTTCCTTCTAATTTATATACTTAATAATTTCTTCTTATCATTTCATATATCTTTAATAATTAGATTAATAAAGTATTATATTCCATTTTTAAATATACAATAATTAATGTTAAATTGATAAAGGGCATATTTATGCAAGTGTGTTAAAAAAATTTAATCAATTACATGATACCATGTACTGATCATATGTCTTATTTGTAAAATTATTAATTTGTGTTGTTTTATAAGTGCTTGATTAAGTATTACATTATCGATGTGACACTATATATTATCTTATTGATGTGAGACTAAATATTATGTTATTAATGTGAAATTATACATTATGTTATCAATGTGAGTTTAAACATTACATTATCGATGTGAGATTAGACATTACATTATCGATGTGAGACTAGACATTACATTATCGATGTGAGAATTTGATAAAATATTGAATAATGTATTTTCGGTGTCAAACTTTATTTAAATGAACGTATAATATAAAACTATCAAGTGAGACTTTATTAGCATGTCAGAAGAATGAGACAAGATTTGAAACCCTACCGTGAGGGACATGCCTTGCGAGTTGAACTTTTGGAGATAAGGTTTTTTGAAGAAACCAAGTCAATCTTGGGTTATCAAACTCGATTTTTACCTAAATAATATTCTTTCTTTTATCGAGAAAACATTATCAACATCATTATTCAAATAACTTCATTTAGGAGTGAATAACTACTAAATGAAATTGTTTACTAAACAAGGAGTGGAAGAAACAAAGTCAACGAATGACGTCAAAAATGTATAAGTCAAGAATAAAGAGGGTTTGAAAATGCTAAATATGGTAAAAAAAAAAAAACCTTAAAATTTATTCATTGTTGAGTGAATATTTAATTTAATGCTATTATTTACTTAACAAAATTAGACACATATGATTACACATGTTTGAGGATATCTCAAATTAGTTAGATCTTATTTGAAACCTGAAGGTGAGCTTTAATGTTAGAGACAAGATTGTCCGAAATTCAGTAGATCAAATTTGAAATATGAATATGCGCTATGACAATGAATTAAATGCGTTACAAGTAATGATCAAATATAATCAAGTCAAAATTGTTTAAAAATGTGTTGATAATTCTATCTGTAACAAAAATAAAAATAAAAATATAATAATGACTAAATTATATGTATGATCTTTAAAAAGGGTTTAAGATATTATACTTTCATCTAATTTATATACTTAATAATTTTTTCTTATCATTTTATATATCTTTAATAATTAGATTAATTAAGTATTATATTCTAATTTTAAATATATAGTAATCAATGTTAAATTGTTAAAAGAGCATATTTATGTAGTGTGTTAAAAAAATTTTAATCAATTACATGATATCATGTACTGATCATATGTCTTATTTGTACAATTATTAATTTGTCTTGTTTTATAAGTGCTTAATTGAGTACTATATTATCGATGTGAGACTAGATATTACGTTTTTAATGCGAGACTAAATATTACGTTATCGATGTGAGAATAGACATTGTGTTATCGATATGAGACTACACATTATATTGTCGATGAAAGACTAGATATTATATTATCGATGTGAGTCTTTGACAAAATATTGAGTAATGTATTATCAGCGTCGAACTCTATTTAAATAAACATATAATATAAAACTATCATGTGAGTTTTTGTTAGCATGTCAAAAGAATGAGAAAAGATTTGAAACCCTACTGTGAGGGACATGCCTCGCAAGTTGAACTTTTAAAGATAAGGTCTTTTGAAGAAACCAAGTCAATTTTGGGTTATCAAACTCGATCTTTACCTAAGTAATATTCTTTCTTTTATCGAGAAAACATTATCAACATCATTATTCAAATAACTTCATCTAGGAGTGAATAACTACTAAATGAAATTGTTTGCTAAACGAGAAGTGAAAAAGACAAAGTCAACGAATGACGTAAAAAAAGTATAAGCCAAGAATAAAGAGGGTTTGAAAATGCTAAACATGATAAAAAAAGAAAAGCCTTAAAATTTATTGATTGTTGAGTGAATATTTAATTTAATGTTATTATTTACTTAACAAAATTAGACACATATGATTACACATGTCTGAGGATATCTCAAATTAGTTAGATCTTATTTGAAACTTGAAGGTGAGCTTTAGCGACAAGATTGTCCGAAATTCAGTAGATCAAATTTGAAATATGAATATGCGCTATGATAATGAATTAAATGCGTTACAAGTAATGATCAAATATAATCAAGTCAAAATTGTTTAAAAATGTGTTGATAATTCTATCTCTAATAAAAATAAAAATAAAAATATAATAATGACTAAATTATATGTATGATCTTTAAAAAGGGTTTAAGATATTATAATTCCTTCTAATTTATATACTTAATAATTTTTTCTTATCATTTTATATATCTTTAATAATTAGATTAATTAAGTATTATATTCTAATTTTAAATATATAGTAATCAATGTTAAATTGTTAAAAAAGCATATTTATGTAGTGTGTTAAAAAAAGTTTAATCAATTACATGATATCATGAACTGATCATATGTCTTATTTGTACAATTATTAATTTGTCTTGTTTTATAAGTGCTTAATTGAGTATTATATTATCGATGTGAGACTATATATTACGTTTTTAATGCGAGACTAAATATTACGTTATCGATGTGAAAATAGACATTGTGTTATCGATATGAGACTACACATTATATTATCGATGAAAGACTAGATATTATATTATCGATGTGAGTCTTTGACAAAATATTGAGTAATGTATTATCATCGTCGAACTCTATTTAAATAAACATATAATAAAAAACTATCATGTGAGTTTTTGTTAGCATGTCAGAAGAATGAGAAAAATTTTGAAACCCTACTGTGAGGGACATGCCTCACAAGTTGAACTTTTAAAGATAAGGTCTTTTGAAGAAACCAAGTCAATCTTGGGTTATTAAACTCGATCTTTACCTAAGTAATATTCTTTCTTTTATCGAGAAAACATTATCAACATCATTATTCAAATAACTTCATTTAAGAGTGAATAACTACTAAATGAAATTGTTTGTTAAACGAGAAGTGAAAAAGACAAAGTCAACGAATGACGTAAAAAAGGTATAAGCCAAGAATAAAGAGGGTTTGAAAATGTTAAGCATGCTAAAAAAAAAACCCTTAAAATTTATTCATTGTTGAGTGAATATTTAATTTAATGTTATTATTTACTTAACAAAATTAGACACATATGATTACACATGTTTGAAGATATCTCAAATTAGTTAGATCTTGTTTGAAACCTGAAGGTGAGCTTTAATGTTAGAGACAAGATTGTCCAAAATTTAGTAGATCAAATTTAAAATATGAATATGCATTATGACAATGAATTAAACGCGTTACAAGTAATGATCAAATATAATCAAGTCAAAATTGTTTAAAAATGTGTTGATAATTCTATGTGTAACAAAAATAAAAATAAAAATATAATAATGACTAAATTATATGTATGATCTTTAAAAAGGGTTTAAGATATTATACTTCCTTCTAATTTATATACTTAATAATTTTTTGTTATCATTTTATATATCTTTAATAATTAGATTAATTAAGTATTATATTCTAATTTTAAATATATATTAATCAATGTTAAATTGTTAAAAGGGCATATTTATGTTGTGTGTTAAAAAAGTTTAATCAATTACATGATATCATGTACTGATCATATGTCTTATTTGTACAATTATTAATTTGTCTTATTTTATAAGTGTTTAATTGAGTATTATATTATCGATGTGAGACTAGATATTACATTTTTAATGCGAGACTAAATATTATGATGTGAGAATAGTCATTGTGTTATCGATATGAGACTTTGACAAAATATTAAGTAATATATTATCAATGTCAAACTCTATTTAAATGAACATATAATATAAAACTATCAAGTGAGACTTTGTTAGCATGTCAGAAGAATGAGACAATATTTGAAATCCTACTGTGAGAGACATGCGTTATGAGTTTAACTTTTGAAGATAAAGTGTTTTGAAGAAGCCAAGTCAACCTTGGATTATCAAACTCTATCTTTACCTAAATAATATTTTTTCTCTTATCGAGAAAACATTATCAAAATATTTATTCAAATAACTTCATATAGGAGTGAATAACCATTAAATAAAATTGTATATTAAATAAGGAGTGGAAGAAACATAGTCAACAAATGATGCGAGAAGGGTATAAGCTAAGAAGAAAGATGATTTGAAAATGCTAAACATGGTAAAAGGAAAGCCTTAAAATTTAATCATTATTGGGTGAATCTTTAATTTAATATTATTATTTAATTAACAAAATTAGACACGTATGATTGTACATGTGTGAGGATATCTCATATTAATTGGATCTTATTCGAAACCTGAAGGTGAGCTTTAATGTCGGAGACAAGATTATCCGTAATTCATTATATCAAATTTGAAATATGAAGATGCACTATGACAATGAATTAAATGCGTTACAGTGTAATGATAAAATATAATCGAGTCAAAATTGTTTATAAAGGTATTGATAATTCTATCACATTAACAAAAAGAAAAAAAATATATAATAATCACTAAATTATATGTATGATCTTTAAAAAGGTTTAACATATTATACTTCCTTCTAATTTATATACTTGATAATTTGTACTTATCATTTCATATATCTTTAATAATTAGATTAATCAAGTATTATATTCTAATTTTAAATATATAGTAATTATTGTGAAATTGTTAAAGGGCATATTTATGTAATGTGTTAAAATTGTTTTAATCAATTACATAATATCATGTACTGATCATATGTCTTATTTGTAACATTGTTAATTTGTATTGTTTTATAAGTGTTTAATTAAGTATTACATTAAATTATATAGTATGTTATTGATGTGAGATTATACATTACGTTATTGATATAAAATTAGACATTGTATTATCGATGTGAGACTTTGACAAAATATTGAGTAATGTATGATCAAAGTGGGACTCTATTTGAATGCTCATATAATATAAAAATATCAAGTAAGACTTTATTAGCATGTCATGAGAATGAGACAAGATTTGAAACTCTATTGTAAGAGCATCTCTCGGAGTTAAACTTTTAGAGATAAGATATTTTGAAGAAGCCAAGTCAATATTCGATTATCAAACTCTATCTTTTCCTAAATAATATTATTCCCCTTATTGATAAAACATTATCAAAGTCGTTATTTAAATAACTTCATTTAGAAGTGAATAACTACTAAATGAAATTGTTTGTTAAACGATGAGCGAAAGAAACATAATCAAAGAATGAGACTAGAAGGGTATATCAAGTAAGACTTTATTAGCATGTCACAAGAATGGGACAAGATTTGAAACTCTATTGTAAGAGCATGTCTCGTGAGTTAAACTTTTGGAGTTAAGGTCTTTTGAAGAAGTCAAGTCAATATTCAATTATCAAACTCTATCTTTTCCTAAATAATATTTTTCCCCTTATTGATAAAACATTATCAAAGTCGTTATTCAAATAACTTCATTTAGGAGTGAATAAATGCTAAATGAAATTGTTTACTAAACGATGAGCGAAAGAGACATAATCAACGGATGAGGCTAGAAGGGTATAAGCCAAGAAGAAAGAGGGTTTGAAAATGTTATACATGGCAAAAAAAAAACTTAAAATTTACTCATTATTAAGTGAATCTTTAATTTAATGTTATTATTTACTTAACAAAATTAGACACATATGATTACACATGTGAATATCTCAAATTAATTGAATTTTATTTGAAATATGAAGATGAGCTTTAATGTTAGAGACAAGGTTGCCCCTAATTCATTAGTTCAAATTTAAAATACGAAGACGATAATGAATTAAATATATTAAAAATGATGATCAAATATAATCAAGTCAAAATTATTTAAAAATGTGTTGATAATTCGATCACAAGTAATAAAAAGAAAACAAATATAATAATAATGACTAAATTATATGTATAGTATTTGAAAAAAGGTTAAAGATATTTATTGATCGCTAATAATTTAAAAAAGTTTACAAAGTAATTTTTGTTTTTCACCTTCTCATTTGTTCCAAGTAGGTTCTTTTTATATCTATCACTGAAATACATCTTAATCTATATATGCATGAAGTAAATTAATCTTAACGACAATAACATGTATATGTTTGTTTAAAACTAAAATAAATATAAATTAATATGCAATATATTTTTAAGGATTATGTTGAACATTTTATCAAAGATAATTTCTAAATTTTATCAAATTATAGTCGATAAACATTATATTTTAGTTTTTTTTTTAAATAAAATTATATCAATTTCCTATTTTTTAGGAGTTATATATTTGTGTCACTTACTAATATAAAATACCTTCTTTTTATCATTTTAAAATTTGAAGAGAGATCGATAGTTCATATTTTTATTATATAACAAAAATTATCTTTCATTTAACGAGAATGAATTCTAAAATAGATGATTTCGTCACGGTGTTGACAATTTTTTTATTTTTTTTCTTTTTTTATCTTACATTTATTTTAAGGTGAATCAAATTCAAAATAAAATATTTTATGATTATTTTTGTCCCACCTTGAATAATTTACTTTTGAGTCATATTTCCTTTATAGATATAAGAATTGGACCACAAGCTAAAAAAATATCTAAAATACATAAAACATTATTTAGTGTCATGGAGATTCAAATTAACTCTTCACGCCTCCAAACCAAGTAAGTTTATTTATCTCATCTTTTATTTTTCTTTATACTTTATTATTTTTAATTGTCGTTTTTTTATGTGTGTTATTTCCTTTTTTATTATTATTCTTTTTTTTAATTGTAACATTCTTATTTATAGTTCTTACTCATGTTTTTTTTTACTATCTTAAATACTAGATAATTCTTCAATAATACTTTATCTTTTTCAAAATACTCGTAAAATATATTTATTAATTGAGATCTTCAATCAACGATATTTAGAATGATAAAATTAGTTATTTATCTAGTTTTGGTTTGCTCAGTTTCTTGTTTATCAAGAGCAAATAAGGTGAACTGAATTTACATAGTTATGATTAATTAAAAGTTCTAATATGTTCTATTAGTAGATAAAGAAAAATATTGTCTTTATGTATTAAATTACTCAATTAATAATTGAAACTTAATTTATAAATATTTATGATTTAAAACACAATATTTAAATGTTATTCTAATTTGTCAAACTGATAATAAACATAAACTTATATTAAACACAATTCGAATGAACTCTTTTATTATGGATTAAATTTATCTTCCTTCCCAAACCACATTATTAGTTTATGATAAGGACATTAAAAAATATTTTCTCTTCTAATGTAAAGTCTTATAATAAATAATAACAATTTACAATTTTTTTTCCATAGTTTAAATTGTTTAGAATATTTCTCACATCACTTTAACCATTTTCAAAAACTTTCATATCAAAATTGACTATAATAGTTTACTCTCTTTTAATTCAAACAATATAATTGATGATCTATTTTGTTTTCCATAAAATTCTTAAAAATATATAATTTTAATCTTTTATTTGATAAATATCAATAATCAAATTATTTCAATGATCTCAAAACTAATACACCTAGTCATAATACTTTTAATGTTGATAAGTCTACTTTATCTATCCAATGACCAATTTATGAATGAAAAGTTGTGTGTTGAATTTATTTATGTTCTACAAGTTTTTAAATAATCTTCCTAAATTGAAGCCCACTAAATGACAAATTTGGAATCTAAATAGAGTTTCACTAAAATATAGTTTAATGTATTAAGCTTAAAAAAACAGTAATGTTTAAAAGTTGTGCAGGCTTACTTATTTTAACATGAAAAAACCAAAGTAAATTTTTTATTTTCACTATTATATTTATTTATTAGTGCAATATTATTGACTCATGGCATTTTGTCCCTAAATTTAAAAAATGCAAAGTCAATTACATATTTCTTCGCCTCCTCCACCAAATGCAATTGTTTGAATGTTGACCAATATGATTATTTGGAATGTTGATGCATTTAATGTTGACTCATTCGATGGTTTCGAGTGTTGATGCATTTTGTTTGCTTATAAGGATGAATTATATAGGTAATATGTTGATTTTTGTTATATACCAACCAATTTGAGAGTGATAAGTCCATATATTATTTCCGGTTAGGCTGTTGTCATGTTCAATTGTAAAACTTTGTTAGCATTTGAAAGCAAATTCTAATAAAAAAGCAAGTGACAACAAATATTAATATAACTAATCTTCGAACTAAAAATTGTATAACTATTTCTTTATGATTTCCACTTGTTAGAATGATAAATGGATTATGAAGATGGCTAACCATGATCATCCAATTTATTGGCTCAAAACCCTTTTAAGTTAATTCTAAAGCTTTGTTTTTCTTATATCCTCCAGCATTGATTCAAGTACTAATATTTGAAGTTCGTATTTTCTAAATTATGTTTGGTTTATTCTCTCTATATAAAATACAATATTTTTTTTTATATAATTTCACATTTTTTAAATAGTATAAGTTGTTTTGAAATTTTAATTTATATACAATGTTAGCCCAAAATGTTTTTACACGGGTATTTGAATCATATAATCGCATTCATTAATACAAGGATGCACAATTGTTATTATTTTGTCACATTATCTATTCATTTAATAGTGGATACGTGTACAAATATTTTTCTCTACCAATATAAATAAATTATATTTATTTTACGTTATAATATCTTTATCTTTAAATGAAAAATATTATATATATATATATATTATTTTTTTTAATATGTGAATAAATATATAAACCCTTTTTCATTAAGTGGGTGGTTTTTTAAGTAGTTTTTGCGAGATCCATAATAAAATTTGATAGAATGCTATTGATATTGTTTTGAAAATATTATTTATAACTAATAATTTATAATTTAAACTAATATTTGTTATAGTGAATTATATTTTTATATTTAATTAAAATCATGAACACACATACCGCATTCGGTTATTATTACTGTGAAAAATTAAAGAAGAAAAAAGATAGAAGGAAAAAGTGTCATTGAAATGAGAAATTTGAATTCTAAGATGCAGCGAGAATAAACACGTGTTGCAGACTAGGGCCACAATATTAATTGGGAAGAGGTTGCAATTGCAAATTTGGCATAAAAATAATATTAAAAAGTAAATAAATAAAAATAAAAATGGTGTGTTTTTCCCACACACAAGGAAAGGAAGAAGAGAGAGAAAACGTGAGAAACTTCTTCGCTCGCAATTCCGAATATACAAAACGAAGACACAACAACACAAAACACAAACAACTGTCTCGGCTCTCCCTTCAAACATTCACCAACTTCTTCACTGTAAGATCCTCTCTTCTCTCTCTATCTCTCTCCCATTCTATCTCTTCCGTTCCACACACACTCTCTCTCTTCCACTCTGCAAGTTTGTTTCATTTGTTTATTTAATTAATTTATTTTCAACTGTAATTACCTATTATTTGGTTGTGGCGGGAACTGGGGTTTTTCGCCGATTGTTGAATTTCCCTTCGTTTCGGTTTCGGTGTTTCTTGTCAATGCGGCGTGTCGCCTTCGTTTATTTTGCTCTTTACGTTTTGGACATTCGGTGCCGCGTTTTGCTTTGGCTTTTGCTTGTTTTTGGTACACCGGAGTTTACGCCTTCTGAGATCCCTATTAGGGGCGCATTCTAGGGTTTTCTTCTACTCTCTTGCGTCGAGGTTTCTTCCTGGGACTCTGCAATGCTATGCGCTTTGGTTTTCAATGTAGGGCCTCACTCAGCGTGCATTTATTGCAAAGTGTGAATGTATGATGTCTTCCTCTTCCATTTTTGCTTTTGGGTTTTCCAAAAGAAGAATGAGGGTTTTGTCTCTACCTTTTGTTGTTCTTTTTGCTTGTTGCATTGGTTTTAGACTGGGTTTTGGTGATGGTGTTTTTCAATTTTGTCGCACAGATTGTTGTGGATTGGTTTTGTTGTTGTTAGTCATCTATTTTGGTATTTGCGATTTTCATAGGGGTTCTGCTTTTGAGAATAATAACTGGGACGAGTGAGCTGGAATGACATGATATTGTGATGCAGTCGAGTGTGTGTTTCCGCGAGGAAAGTGTATCATCTTGTTTTGGGTTAGACTGCGATTACTTATTTAATTGTTTAGTTTGTAAGCAGCTCGTGATTGATGAAGGAGATCAATTAAAAACAATTAGAGCATTTTTTTTCCATTCCTTTGCATTTCCACATCAAAATTCATAGATGTTATGATTCTCGTAAAATTGATTGAGTTCAGACTGTTAGAATAAATGTAGTTCTGAGGTAGATTAATCCAGTAACTCTGTATCGCGCTTGTTCATTAACTGTTGAGATTCTATTTTTTTTGCCCCCGAACCAATGGAATTGCTAAGACATACCACTGACTGGTTTCTTTTCTGTCAAAATCTCAGTGCAAGGTGCGTGTCTCTGACAAGAACTGAGGTTATTTCCCAATGCCTCTTTTAAGGAGAAAGCCTTTTGCGTTGGCCAAGCCCCCTGAGGAGTTGAAGCCAGACGAACTTGTCTACCAAATTCGATTTACGAAAGAAATCTTTCGAGATTATACGTATCCTGTACAGTCTTCTATTGTTCTTGTTTTACTTTTGACATCATTGTTTTTTTCCTGTCTTTAACTTGAAAGTGGTTAAAAAAATATTTACTGATTTGTCCATATTTTTAGCATCTTAGGCTAGTTGTTGCAAAGTTAATCTACAATATGTCTTGGCATTACATATTTGGTCCCAGCAATGGGAGGATAGTGACTCCTTAAGATATAGCAGTGATTATTTGAAGCGATTGAATCTATACCGCCAGAGGGTTTGGACGTGCAAAGTCACTGGAAAAACTGGCTTGACTTATGAAGAGGCTATGGTGTCTGAACAGCATGCTACTGAGAAAGTTCAACAGTTTCCTAAAGAATTAATGACTACTGCTTTAGGGATTATTCAATACAGTAAGGACTACACTCTTCTGACTTCTGTGATGAAGAAATATATGCTGATATAATTATGCGTACCTTTTTTTACTTTATATATTTCTGTAGATAGATCTTTTTATTCTGCATGAATAGTTCCATTGTTGTTTGGTTGAATAATGTCATCATGAATAATCCCTCCTGTACCTGCTGACTTTGTAAGAAGGCTTGGAGGTTAACTGTAGAGGGTCAACATGTAGTAAATGTGCTCCATTTTGTCTGGATGTGTAGTTTGTCAGTGTCTATGAAAGGGTTGAAACTAAGTTTCCCATTGTTATTCATAATGATATTATATTATATCAATTGTCAACTTTATTATTCAGTATAATGGTGGCTCCAATATGATGACCTGAGTATTGTGTTTCCTAACCTTCGTGAACTATATTGAATATGAGTTGGCTTTGGTAAACAAGTTAATATTTTTATTGCATTAGTAAATTACTATGAAGCTAATGCATGTACTTCTTTGTTCAGACTTTAAGCCTATTCAATTATACTCGTCAGGTTAATCCTCATAATGGTTACATGTCTGCTTTTTCATTGAAATTGAGATAATTGGAGTTTCAGTTTTTATATATCCTTTTATACAAATTTCTTCATTTGATCGAAGGTCCTAACTTTTAATCACAGAATGGTGTACAGAAAATTAAAGTGTGGTCCAGGTTTAACTTATAGATGAATATGAGGACTTGTGTTTATTTAGATAAGTCCTTTGGTGTTGTGAGCATATATATGTTGTTTATTCACCTTGTTTGTGAGGTATATCATATATTTTTGCTCATTATTTTAGACTTTTGACTATTCAAGTTGTAATGTTTGCCGTACTTGCAGAGATCAAATTGAAGTTGATAAGCAGTAACACAACTTGTATGGTGTTAAGACTCGTTAAATTTGTGTTTGTGAACTGTTATGGAAAACAGTGATAGACATGTTTCTGAGAATTTCAAAACTCAACTACAAAGCTATTCATGTTTAAGATTTGCTACAGAAAATATTATTGAGACATATGCCAGCTGTTGCTTCAAATTTGATTATACATTGCTTTTCATGCAAAATGTTGCAATACTTTTCACGTTACTGGACTGATTAGTGATCTTTTTGCTTCACAGGTATGCTCCCTTTGAAGGATCTTGCTGATTCTATTGGTGAAAAATTGCAGGAACGTTTGTTTGTGGGTGCTGAACTACATGGGAAAAAGGATGATGCAGTACATCCATGCAGAATATTAAAAGTAATTGAGAAAGGAGTTGACACATTCTGTTATGAGGTAGCTTGGCTTGACAAAAACAAGAATATAAGTGATCAAGGAGAACTCAGTGCAGAACATTTGGTGCATAAGAAGCCACTTTTTAGTAGGAATGTTTTGAAGTCTTTTATTCGGGAGTCTACATATCGGAATGCCCCTTGGGTTTTGCATGATGAACTAGCAAAAAATCATGGAATATCAACTGATATTCCTGAGGAATTAAGAAGAAGGGTTTTTTACAGAGATGGACTTTTAATTTGCTCCAAGAAAAGGAAAAATGAGGTAGATTGGATAGTGGAAATATGGAAGTTTCTGTTTCTTTTTTATTTTCTATACAAGTATAATATTATCGATAATTTCTTTTTTAATTCTATTGTTGCATGCTGCAAATGATAGGTGGACCAAGGATGCCAACTTAGTTGGGATGTTTTGGTCTCACAATAATGCTTAGCATGTCATAGTTTTTTAAAACAAAAAATTATTGATAAATGACAAGAACATGGGTTTGATATTGTAATATATGGCTTTCATGATTGTTTTCTTAATGAGTTTTATTGCATTATTATCTGTCCTAAATCTATCAATTTTAGGAATCACGGGAAGATGCTGGTAATGGTAAAAGGAAAAAGTCGGATGGGGCACAAGTCGAGGATTCTTGCCAAGAGAAAGGTAGAATTGTTTAATTCAGGTCTCCTATTACAGTAGTTTCATAAGGCATGGAGTTTTGGAATTCAAATTTGCCCGTCTCCTGTTTGCTTCTATTTTATTGGAATTGGGTGATGTGGAGACTTGCAGATGCATATCTTGTTGTTTACTCATGTATTACGTGGAAAAATTTCCTGTTATGGTTCAGAAATTAAACTACAATGGTGTGATATAGCTATGATTGTACATAATACCTCTTTAACAAAAAAACCTTGAAACCCCTTTCTCTTGTGATTTAATTTTATTCATAACAATCTTGAAATTACAAATTTGGCAGAAAATGTTCAACACAAGAATAAAGCTATCAAATACCCCATTGATGATCTATTGGTCAAGCCTAGTCCAGATGATCCTGTTTTCACTAATCGTCCTTCTCCATCAAAAGACTTCAATATTCCAATGAGTTGTGTTGGGGATCTCTTAATGGTTTGGGATATGCTCAATTCCTTTGGTAGACTGTTGCACCTGTTGCCCTACTCTCTGGAAGATTTTGAAAATGCAATCTGCCACAAGGATAGCAATGTGGTTCTCCTTGTGGAATCTCATGCAGCACTTTTCCGACTTCTCATCAAAGATGATGATGAATATTCTTCAGCTTTGAAGAACCGAAAGCTGAAGTCTAAGGTTATCCATTTTTATTTTTCTCGTATTAGTTTCAGTAATAGATAATTGTCTATATTTTGTTACATGGCTGTAACTTGTTGAATATTTTTCTTCTTCCCATGTCTGGTATCCTTTGTGACTTGATTAATCTAACAATATCTCATTCATTTTTATATTCAGATTACAATGATTAATTGGACAGAATATTTATGCTATTTCCTAGAGGTGATCAATATTCCAGAACTGCGGTGCCATGAAGCAACTATAAAGCGTGGACATTATGGCCTTGTAGATGTCAGTGCTAAATTAGAAATCTTGGGCGAATTGGTCAATCGAGCCCTTGAAACCACAATTTTCAGGGAAAAGTTAGAAGAGATTATTGAACAGCGGCAGGCACTTAGAAGGGAAGAAGCATTGGAAAATGGTAGGAGGAGAAAAGAAGAAAAGGAGCGGTTGAAAGCTGAGTCAGAAAGCAATGGAGTTGTGGATGGGCATCTGGATGGTGCAAAAGTCCTAAGTAACGATAATCATAGTATACAAAATGGAGACGTGGTAATTGCGATAGAACCATCTGGGCAAAACAATCCATTGGATAGAAGGTTAGCTTTTATCTTGTGTGCTGTTTCTGCCAATATATATTTACGAATATCTTCCTTCAGTTTGTTGGCTATTGTTTCACTTTATTTCCTTTCGAACTTACTGTAGTGGGATCAAGCCTTTAAATCCTGCTTCAAAAAAGACACCTAAGAAGCTTAATTCAGAGCCGAAAGAACCAACCAAAAATGGAAAAGAATTATCCAGAAAGGAATCACCAAAACAGTCGAAGGCTGATAAGGAGGATCCATCAGAGAAGAATAGTGAAGAACTGAGGGTGCTGCCTATCTCCCTGTTTAGATTGTGTTATCTGTTTTTTCAATTGATCTTTTATTGACATTGTCTATTGTACAGAAAGAATATTATGAACGGGAGATGGAGAAACGATTTGTTCGGAGAAGCCCATTAGGTAAGGACAGAGATTATAATAGGTATTGGTGGTTTGGTCGTGATGGGAGGATATTTGTTGAAAGCTGCGACTCCAAGGAGTGGGGATACTACAGCAGTAAGGAAGAGGTACTAGATGATAGTAGTCTTTATTCCCTTTGTTATTTTATTTGTGCCCATTTTTCTTTTCTAATTTTCTGTTTCTGCTGGCATTTTTGCTTGAATAGCTCGATGCATTGATGAGTTCACTGAATTGCAAGGGTGAGCGGGAAAGGGCACTGCGAAAGCAACTAGAGAAATATTATACCAAAATATGGTGAGTTATTTTTGTTTTTCTATGTATGAATACCTAGATAGCTTTTTCCCTTGTTTTCTATTTGCATATTATATCTTGATGCATACTTCACAGCAGAAGTTGTTTTTTAGACTTGTCTAATGTGCACATGTAGTTCTAATGTCACTTTACTGTTAGCTGATAAAAATAAACGTAGGAACAACTCGGAAATTTGCTGTTGCATGTGAGATGTTAGATTGATACTGTTCTTATGTAGAATGATCTCCATGTTGGGCCAATCAATATTCTGGAGTTGTCATCTGTGGCTTAAGTGGAATGTAGTTTCCTCTAATTCATTATGAATGTAGTTATATTAGTGACCGTGATAGAATAGATAATACGAATATTGTGAATAAACGTACTATATTTAACTGAATAATTGAATGTGAAAGATAACCATGCAAAGTTAAGAGAAGTGGTGGCGAGGAGAGTTGAGAAGATGAAGATAAGTGCTGGTGGTATTATTTAGTTTTCACGAAAAAAGTTATGATTCGCCACTTTTGTTGGGATTTAAATTTACTTGATTAGTATAAAAACATTTGAATTATATTGAAATGGTTAAGAAGATTGAAAGCTGCTTGCGTGTTTACTTTATAAGTTGTTGGATTTTATTTTTGAATAACTTGCCGTCTTGACTTTTGAGATTCATTCCTTTTGTTATGTTTACAGTTCAGAACTCCAGAAAAGGTCGAAGGATTTGATGCACAGGATTATAGATGAGTCTGTGCTTCGAAGGTCTACTCGTGTTAGAGCTCCACCTAGGCAGAACCCTGCCAATGCTTTCCTCAGATATGTTAACAAGTGGAAAGAAGAATAGGTGGTGCGAGTTTGATTAATTGCGTTGACAGTACTAGGGACTAAGTAGTTTTCTGATCCATTTTTGGATGATGGACAAGCATATATGTATGCTTGTTTCAGAAATTTTGTACATTACTTATTCGATTTTTCAATAATAACGAAACCGGTACATGAGAATAGAATACCTTTTTAACTACCTCTGTTGTCTTGATACAGGTATTTTCTTACCTGATTTACTTGGAAAGGTGACTTGCTCCCTAATTTTTAATACTTTAGTTCTGTTTGGTTTATTATTTTTATTTAAGAGGTTGATTTGAAATAATGGATTTCTATATTGTTTATTTGTTTTGAAAATTTAATATTTATTTTGAAAATAATGACATTTTTCCTTTTAAATAACTACACTATTTTATTTTTATACTCTTTATTGTGTAGATAATTATATTTTTCCCTTTTACATAAAATATTCATTTTTTTACTATTATTTCTTTCATGCGTTATTGTTATTATTTTATAGGTTATAATTTCTTGTATTATTTTGAACATCTTTGATTTTTATAGTCAGTTTATTTTTTATTTATAACTATTTTCTAATTGGCTAAGATCTTTTTAGCATTATATAAAGGATTGGTGTTCAAATTGAAATTTGAGACACTAACAAAAGTTTGATTGTCCGAACCGTTCGAATTTGGATCAACACCGTAGGTATAATTCGTCTGGCATGGGTGTGGGCTTCTTGATTTTGAATAGTTTTTTTTCTATGCAGACTTTTATAGTCTTGTCAGCATAACCTGCTGGCTAAGTGGGTTTAATATGTGAAAACCGCGAACTATCTACAATCGAAGTTAATTATGTGAAACTCTTGTTTTTAAAGTTTAATTTAAAATATGTATTATATTTAAATTTTATTATTTATTATATGCTGTATTATAGATGAAATGGACAAATCTTCATATTGAAAATTTGGAAGAATTAACTATATCAAGAGTTCGAAAATTATTAATGAAAAAATTGATGTTATGTTATAGTTTTCTTTGTAATTTAGCATTTAATTAATTTTGAATTTAAAATTTTCCTTTTAGATGATAATTAGATTTAATTTTTCAATACTTAAAATGTATTTAGAAATTATATTTTAATACAAAAGTAACATTTTTACGATTTGGAGTGTGATAGAACCTGTTTTATGTGAGGGGAATGTGATAAAAGTTTTTTCTCAATATTTATAGTTAAATATCTCTTTATTTTTAATACAATCATCATTAAGTTAGATATGTCTTTATTTTCAATACAATCACATTGAGATAAGTCACTCTTTGTATGATCGATCAGTACCTTTATTGTACCTTGTCCAAAAGTCCATGGTCATTTAGCAACTTCTATGAGAATTGTGATGACCACGTCTAGTTTAGCTTGAACATGATAACCTCTTTCCAATTTTTGAAGTTCATTGCAAATGTATTTAATTTTAAAATTTAATTGAGGTTATGTTATATCACATTATTTACAAAACTAACATGATATCTGTAATTGAATTTGCTGCATGATGTTTGTGTTCTACCAGTATGTGAAGAGTGTGTTTATATAATTTCCTTTGGTTGGGTTCACTGCCTCTCCTGTCTTCTTTGGTGTGTCATTGACTGAGGGAAGAGAATAGCATACATAATTTTGTGGGAGAAGGTGGGTAAAGAGGTTGGATCATGAGCTTTCTGAAGACGTGATTTTTTTAAAGAATGTGTGAACTTGGATTATGCTTCTGACATTGTTGGAGACGCAATAATTTTTTACCAAAGGATCTTCAAGAATTGGGCTAAGTACGTAAAGTAAAAAAGGTAGAAGCCATATTAACCAATAATTTATACATGAATTAATTTTGGAAGCAACAACTTTTTTTTTTTTTTTCTTAATTTACTTTCTTGGAGCATTTTTATCTTTTCTATTATTTTCCTGTCTTTTCATCTGTTTTATGACATGTCAATGATGAGCATTTAGAGACTATTATTCCTTCACCTTGGTGTACCTTGAATGACACACGATTAGAGGCAAAGTAATGCACAAAAAAGAAAAACAGTTTTTACTTGAACACGTCCCTGCAATGATACACACCAAAAGACATCTTTCCCTTTGTGTTCTCAGGGCACCAAAACCTTGCAACTCCAAACAAAGCACATGTACCCTTCTGGGTGTGAGAAGCAGAGCTGATGCTGCAGAAAAGCACTGCTGGGAACAGATTTAGATTATCTCGATGACAGCTCGGCCAACAATTTTTCCTTCATTGAGATCTTGGAATGCTTTGTTTGCCTCCTCAAAGGTATATGTTCTAGAAACAGCATGGCCAAGATTGAAGATACCTGTTTCTGCCAATCTAATTAGCTTTGGAAGATCTTGCCTCGCCCTGCCTCCATATGAGCCAATAACTTGTATCTACTCAAATACAGATTTAATATGTTTAGATGAAAAGAGAATATAATCATTAACATTTCAGAAAACAAACGGGTTTGGTTAACAGCTTATTATCATAATACACCATTTAAATTCATTCTGAATGGAAGTAGCGGTTATATATGGGAGTACTGGTAACAAAAACAGTAAAGTATATATACAGAGAACACACCTTTCTGCGAACAAGCCGATTTATATCCACCTCTCCTAAAGAACCAGCTTGTGCCAGTCCAATCATTACGGCTTTTCCACCATCCTTCACACTTAGTGTGCACTGCGCAAATGTCTGTGGTCTCCCCAAGGCTTCCACAGCAACATCAACACCCTTTCCACCAGTAATTTCCTGTGTGAATGATTACAAACAATTAAAAGGGATATGTATCTTCAAGTGATCAAAAGGATGCCATTATCATGATGGTTTGACCGGATAACATATTGGGGGCCAATACATATAATGAGTGTAAGTGAAAAGGTGATTTGGCAGACTACAAAAACCAATAAGTATTTCAAGGTTAGTATACACACGAGATAAGTGAGCTTATCGTCTTTTTTAAATTTCGTGATGCAGTAGTTACTCAAAGGGCTACAGAAGTTATCTAACAAATTTTGTGTTTCAAGGAAGACACATATAGGGAAAACTAAACAATGAGGCAAAAGAGAAATGCATATACAAATATCTTCTCAATGGGATCTTCCTTTGCTGAATTTACAGTGTGAGTAGCACCAAATATCTTTGCTTTCTGTAGCTTTTCATCCCGAACATCCACAGCAATTATATCCGAGGCACCAAAGGCTCTAGCTATCTGCAAACAACTGGAATGGGTGATAAAGTTAAAAGGAAAAACAATTTGATTAGAGCCAGTTGCTCTGATCCATGGCCAACATAGGAAATCTACCAATTCTGTAAATGAGTACCAACAGATCTTGTGACAGGAGAGGTTTCTACAATTCATACAAATCTCAGGTTCTCAATTCAGGGTTTAGTTTAGGGTTCTAAGTTCTGCATAATATTAGACACGTAAATGTATATTGTTCAAAGCTAGTTTTCAACTATTCAAATTTATCCTAGGCCACATGGTAATAATCAGGTGTAAACAAAATGGTTATTAAAAAATTCACGCACTTAATCTAGAGCATATTTAGCAGATGTAAAATATACAGTAACACAAACAAGAACTATCTGTTTTTTCTTATTGACTTAAGATAATTTGAAGACAACTACAAAAGGCAATAGGCACTGTAAGGTGACGATATAACAGCATAAAAATCAATTTGAAAATTATTTACCTAGAACCAACACCCCCAGTTCCAATAACAGCAACAGAATCACCAGGACGCACTTGAGCTGCGTGAGCCATAGCACCGTAAGCAGTAAAAACAGCACATCCTAGAATTGCGGACTCTGTAAATGGCAATGATTCTGGTAATACAGACACTCCATTTGCTGGCACAACACAGTATTCAGCAAGCCCTCCCATACTATACATAGATACTGGTTTTCCTATTATAAATTGCAAAATATGTTCAGTACTTCAATATTGAATGATTCGATAATTAGGGAAAATACACTTGAAGAACATATATACATTGTACAAGCTGAATATAAAATACCGTTGAGAAAAAATGGGCCTTAAAAACACGCACCCTTAGTAGGAAGTTATAATTCCTTACAATTAAGCTTATATAAAAATAAATATTGAGAGCATGCACTTATTCCTTGAAAAAGGAAGTTGACATGCTTCAGGATTAGTGATATCAGTAGTGTGTACTCTATCAAGTAACAACAGGTGTGATGGTGGTGCTGCTTGAGTTGGATGATAAAAAAAGTCAAATTACAAGACTTTTGAAATAATAGCTAAATGATACTAACCACTGTTTCGAAGAAAGAGTCTAGTTTCACCATCATAGAGGGTTCCATTTGCCCGGTTATGGGCAAAGAAAGCTTCACATAGATCATCATGGCCCTGCATACCGTTTGGAGACAACATCAAGGATGAACAAGAATCCATGTAATATAGAGTGGAGTACTAAAGCATTATTACCTTTGAACAGTAGGAGCAGCTGCCACAAGGCATGATGAAGGCCCCAACAACTCGCGATCCGACCGGAAGCCTAAAACAAGGAGAAGCAAAATTATCATTCCTTCTGGTCATTATCTAGATTCTAGAATAATAATATTTTCATCGAGTAGAACATGGTGACACAATATGTAGCAGCAAAAGAGTTTCACTTTTCCAGTATATTTCACCTTTCAATTGTTTGGCTGTCAGAGAGTGCCCCATGTTCAACAACCTCACCCGTAATCTCATGCCCCACAACACAAGGACTGGAAAACGGAATTTCACCTTTCATAACATGTAGATCAGAGTGGCATACTCCACAGGCTACATCATAATAGCCACACCAAAACACAATTAGATCCAACAGTAAGCAAATCATTCCCTAAACACATCCCATTCCCTCCTTTGGACACTAGGATTCCTCCACAGTGTTTTTTTTTTTTTTTTTTTACTTTGAAAACAACCAGTGGAGTGGTTATTATTCTAACATGTTTTCTACTCTACAAGCAATTTTCAATTGTTTTAGCCCCTTCCATTTCTCACTTGAATGTCCAAATCACACACTCACAATCATATCAATGTATAACAAAATTGAATTGGATGGATTTAAATAGACACATGTTGGCATTAGATAATACTAAAAAAAAAAAAATTTTGAGGAAGACCCTTGTTCCCATCAACGTTATGACGCACAAGAATTGAAGGGTACACTTACCTTTGGTTTTGATGAGAACTTCACCGGCCTTGGGGCGAGGCATGCGAAAGTCCTCGATGGAAAGAGGCTTATTGGGTTCCCAATGCACAGCTCCACGCATGTAAGATGGCAATCCATCACCACCAACAGGTTGGCTATGAAAGGAAGAAACAGACGCAGGGATAGGGTTGTGGACTGAGGAATGGCGAGACAACACAGACAAAGAAGATGCAAACTTGGAGTAGTGGGTGCCGATGTTCCTGCGAACTGTGGCTAAGGCCATTTGTGAATTTCGGTGAAAACTTGTTGCGGTGGATCACGACAACCTGCGGGAACTGGGTGAGTTGAATGATGATTTTGATCACTACTACGTAGGAATTAAATACTAAATCAAATCGCCAATGCGATAGGGATCCAAACCTGACTTGTCATCTTACCTTAATATTTAACTCGATCTTAACAACAACTCGCAGGAAATACTAAATACTATGGAACCACTAGTAATACTATAATCAACTACAACTTTCTTTTATCTTCTTAAAAAACTGGTTATGGCCACATTAACACTTCATTACAATCTATAATGACAATGTTTGATTTATTTATTTATTTTCTTAGGATGCTTGAAACTGTCAGGAAAATCAATTATGTATGATAACATGTTAAAAAAAATACTTTACAAAAAGTTGTTATTTTTCATAATTTTTACAATTTAATTTTAATTAAATGATAACTATTATTATGATAACTAAATACTTAATATCAAAATTATCGATTCAAAAATTTAAATAAATAAATCATGATGTTAGGTTAAAAATTTTATGACTTTAATCAAACTTATTTTATTTTAATTTATTTAAATTATAATTTATATAAATTTGGTATAAAGTTAGGTAAGGTTAATGTCTATTTTATATAATAATAATTATTTAAAAATATAAAATTATTTTATCAATATATATATATATATATATATATTATAAATTAATTTAATAAGATATTTATTTATTTTTATAATAAATATAATAATATTTTTTAATATTATTTATTTTAAAATTTATTATTGAAATAAATTATTATTTTAAACTACAAAATTATTAATAAATAAATAATAATAATGATAATAATAAAAGTGAATTTTTAATTTTTATTTTAAAATTAATAAATTTATTTTCTTATAATTTATATATTAATAGTTTAAATAAAAATTAATATAATTTAAATTTTAAAAATATTTTTTAAATTATTTATTTTGATATAAATATATTAATAATTTTTTATTTTTAATCATGTTAAAATTTATATATTATCTTGTGGGTCTAAGATAAAATTAAATTAAATGAAAATTTATAATTATTTTAAAATATAAATTAAAGTGGACGATAATATAAGATAAGTAAGTTGATCCCATCATCAAATAATTATTTTTACTGTGCAACAGGCGGATAAACCGTTATTTGCCCTAATATTTTTTATGAAGGCAAACATGGTGATATTCTTTTTTTTTTAATTGTATTTTTAGTCTCTTTACTTATTATGATTATATAATTTAAATTTTTCATATATTTTCCTTGTTTAATTCATAATTAAGTGTTTTAATTTTTTTTTCTTTGCTAATTGATCTTTGACATTGTGATTATTATTTTTAATGTGTTATTATATTATGTTTGACGAAGGATAAAGAGAGAAGAGTAGTGAGAACAGTTTCTAGAAAATGGAATAAAATATATAATATAATATATTTTTTTAAATTGTGCGTAATTGATTTCAGCTGTCATATAAAATCACGTTTTCATTCATTTATACATTCATTATTACTATTATTATTAATTGAAATACAACATTACCAAGAATACAAAATAGCTAATACAATTAAAATTTTCATTTATTATAACAATTATTTAAGAAAAGCCCGTCTATTAATAACAGTTATTAAAGTATTAAAAATAAAATATAAAAAAGAAAATTAAGAATGATAAAATGTATAAACTCGACAATTCTTTAACCTAGTAGATTTAATTCGTCAATCTATTCTATCTGCTCTACTTAACATGAGACGAAATAAGACGAGTTTATCAATTAATTTATTTTAAAAAAATATTATATATTGAAATTAAAAAAATATATTATATTTTTTATGTTATTTTATTCAAATATATAAATATATTATAATATTATAATTAAAATTAATTATTAATTATTTTAACACATAAATATAATTTTTTAATTTATTTAATAAAAATACTAATTAATAAAAAAAAATAAAAATTATTTATATAATTAAAAATATATTTTAAAAATAATACATATATTAAAATTATATATATATAAAAAGTTATTTACAGATTGAATTGTGTATCACCTGTTGGTACTTTGATATATATTCTTTATAATAATAGTGGCAAAAATAATGTAATAGACTATAATAATAATTATCATTAGAAAACAAAGCGTCAACGCCCGTTAAGAAAAAAGTATTAGAGTCGTGGACGTATTCAAAAGCCAATTTTCAAACCAACCCCCTTATTTTTTTTACCTAATTCCATATTTTTCTTTTCATATTACAAGTTTTTATATTCAATTGTTTATTTACATATTTATATGAAAAGAATGACCTCGATAAAGAAACATTAGTGTAAACTTTGTATATATATTTAACTCAAAGTTAAAAAAAATTAAAGGATATGCAAGTAGTTAGTAAAATATTTAGTAAGTATTAATATAAGATTTGGATAAGAACAATATGGGTTGGTGGAACAAGACATTTAGTTAATTTTTATTTAAATGAGAAGAACAGTGTTAGCACTAGACATTTTATGGATTATGTTTATATATCAAGCTTCAGGGAATCAATGAAGTTTCTTCAACAATAATATAAAATCACTAATAAGTCATTGTTTCAACATTCAATTTTGATTGGATAATTACAAAACATTGAAATATATTGAGAAATCAAATTAATTAATTAAAATATAAATAGAAAAAACCAATAAATTAATTTATAAAATAAGATGGAGAATATGAGAAAATGAATTTAAAATAGAAGTGATATAATTAGAATAAGTTTGAAATTTTTTAGATTAAATTAAAAAAAATTATAAATAAAAAAAATTAAATATTGATATTTCATTCTCACAAAATCATTATTTCTCTCAAACTTTTTTTTTCCTTTTTCTCTAAATCTCTTGATCTAGAATTTTTTTAGATCCATACATACTTGGTGTTAGTGAAAGAGAAAACATCATTTTTATAGGATCAAAATTTTAAATATAGTAAGTTTCTTATTTTCTAATTTTATACAATTTTTGTATATTTTTTGTTTAGGTTTGCATGTGGGTTTCGGAAAGCTTGCATGTAGACTTTATTTTGAAAAGATAAATATTGACTAGTTTAAAAATATTGTGATATGCTTAATTTGTGAGCAAAATCTATTTTTGAGTTTTTTGTGAGCAAAATCTATCTTCCTAAAATTTTAGAAATTTTTTTAGTTCTTTAACTTGGATGCGCTATATTGAGATAAGAGAATTTAACTATTATTCAATTTTCATAGTACTTTAGGCTAAAAGATCTAGATTGTGAAGGTGACTTGATCATTGTTTAAGTTTCAAAAATTTGGGTTATGTGATTATGTCTATGTTGATTTGTGATTATTGTATTAGATGTGAATGTATAAGTGATTTATATGAGATTGAAAAATATACATCTTTTGTATAAATGTATTGTTATTAGATTAAATTTAGTAAATTGATTTACACTATGGATGTAAGGTTTAAAATTAATTTGATTCGAACATTATAAATAGGTTATTGAGCAGATTATGCAGTCTACTACTATAACGAATCAGTCCAACAGATTTAAATCCGCTCAATGAATTTAAGACAATATTAAAAGCGCTTGAAATTCACTTATTATTTTCATATTCATTCAACAAATTTTAGATTGTGCTTGAGGTTCCATTATGTCAAAATTTTGTTTAACGGATTTGAAATTCGCTTAGCGTTTTTATATTTGCTCAACAATTTTCGAAAAATCATAAAAAATAGCTTTAAACTCCAAATTTAATATTTCATATATGAAAATCGAAGCCCTAAAAATAAAAAATATAATAAAATAAAAATTAGTTAAAAATAATGTCTAGGGAGAGGTCAAATTAGAAAAAAAATTTATCTTATTATAATATAAGAAATGACATGTGTATGCCTTAAAATATTAAAATACATATTATGAAAATGAAATGAGGTGTGTTTAATGTTATTACGTGCCTTGAAAAAAATGTTGTGTTCTGATATAAGAATTACTAATGGATATCTTCATGTGTGTAGTGTTGTATGTATAGATATTGATTTAAGACTTAAGGAAATATCCTGATTCTACTATTCACTGGAATCACATAGATGAAAGTTGTGAGAGTTGAAAGAGGTTTCTAATGACTTAACCTATAATGTGAAAAAAAAACTATATTTTGATAAGTTGTTTAAAAATTTATCTTAGTCACATATGAGTGTATATACCAAATTGAGCATTCTTGTGTTATGCACTTGAAGGAGTTGTGATATGATAGATGCAAATCTCTTATGTTTATTTCAATATCTACTTTAATCGTCTAATATTTGTGTGACTTGAATGTGAGTCTGAATGAGTGTGATGTGATATATAAAAATTTTAAGTTAAATTATATTTTTTATCTTACATTTGAATTTTATATACTTAAACTGAATTACTACCTTATACTTGTACAAAAGAGTAATATAAATTTATATTTTATTTATTTTTATATTTTAAACTGTCCATTTTTTAATTTATTATATATATATATATATATATATATATATATATATATATAGTTTTGGGTTGTTAAAAAAATCTAGAACTTAGACTAAAAATTTTAAAAATACTTAATGCTTTAAATTTAATAAAAACAATTTATTTATTTTCATTTTTAATTATAATTATTTTCATACTCTCTAAAATCAAATGTAGAAAAGCTTAATCTAAATTTAGAAATAAATAATATCATTTTTGTTACAAAAAATAGTTAAAATATATTAACAAATGATTATATATAAGAGTATCGACCACGTAAATAATTTTTTAAAATAAATAATTAATAATTTATGATATATTTTCTTAGTACAAATATCAGTTTTAAAATTCTCAGTGTTTATATCCTTTTATAAAATTTTTTTATTTCTCCATTTTTTAAATATATTTACCTTATTCTCATAATTTGTATTGAATATAAATTCAGTTTAGTTTCGTTAAGTAGTTGGTTACAATCTGTTATGTAATTCTGTAAAGTTATCTTTCAATGCTTCCATCAGCTTGCCTCTTTATTTTGTATACCCATTTACACCCTATAGGTTGCTTTCCATATGGTAGATCAGTCAAAGCCCATGTTTTGGTACTTTCTAAAGCTGCAATTTCTTGATCCATGGCATTCTTCCAACAATCATGTTTGATGGCTTGGTTATAGGTTTTAGGTTCACTGACTTGGGAAAGATTAAGGACATATGATTTATGAAGAGATGATAATGCATCATAAGAGAGATATGAAGAGATAGGGTACAAGGTACCTGTAGATGACTGAGTGGCTGAAGAAGTAGATAACATGTTGCAATGATAGTCCTGTAGGTAAGATGGTTTATGTTTTGGCCTGGTTGATTTTCTTTGTGGAGTAGCAGTGATAGGTTCAGCAGAAACGAAGTTGAGAAGAAAAAATAATAGGGTCTGGAACAACGAAGGAGAAGATATAGGTGGTAAAGAGGGTTGATCAAGTAACTTCCGAGAAAAGAGGTGATGGAGATGAAGTAATTTTGGTGACAAAATCCAAGGAATTTTGTGTATCAGTAGGGGAGTGCTTGTCATTAGTAAGAAAAGGAAATATGTTTTCATAAAATACTACATTCCTTGATAGAAAAATTTCCCTAGAGTTGAGATCCAACAAAAGGTAGCCTTTCACTCCTTTTTTTAAAACCAAGTAAAACACATTTTCTTGCTCGATGTTGAAATTTTGTTCTTTGAGCTTGAAGAGTTGAAGCATAGCAAAGGGAGCCAAAAACTCTTAAGTAAGTAATGTCAGGTTTAATATTGTGTAACAGCTGAGATGGAGAAAAATATGCTAAAACTTTGGAAGGTAAAATATTAATGAGATGCACAGCATAACGAACAGCAAAAGACCAGAAAATTATGGGCAAATGGGATTGAAACATTAAAGATCTAGCAACATTGAGAATGTGTTGATGTTTTCTCTCAACAACCCCATTTTGTTGAGGTGTTTCAACACAAGATAATTGATGTTGTATCCCTTTTTGTCTATAAAATTCTGTCATTGCAAACTCATTACCATTATCTGATCTAACAACTTTTACATCAATGCCAAATTGTGTTTTTATATAAGAAACAAAGCCAATAAGTTGTGATCTGGTATCTGATTTACTTGCCATCAATTTAATCCATGTGTATCTAGACATATCATCCACTATGGTTAAGAAATATTTGAAACCATCAACAGAAGAAGTACCATAGGGACCCCAAATATCAACATGAATTAAATCAAAAGGAGTTTTTGAAACAATAGTACTTGATGGAAAAGGCAGTTTTCTTTGCTTAGAATAGTGACAAGTATCACAATGAGTGTATTTTATATCAGGTATAGTATCATACATGTTTTGTAATTTGATGTAACAAGAAGAAGAAGGATGACCTAGTCTATGGTGCCAAATATCAATAGAGTTAGGTCTTATGGTTGAACAAGCAACAAAATTCACAGCTAGTGAAACAGAATTCATAGGTGCAGGAACTATCATGATATACAAGCCATCTCTTTCTTCAGCTTTCCCAATCATCTGCAAGGTTGACATGTCCTGTATCACACATGAAAATTCAGAAATGTCAAGCTTACAAGATAGAGATTTAGTTAACTTTGTGACCGAAATAAGATTTACTCGAAAAATTAGGAACAAACAGGACATTATGTAGAATAAGTTGCGGGCTAAGGGAAACGTGCTGTGAAAAATGAGCAAGTGAGGAATTCTTGTTGGGTAGTGATACTGTAATTGGTGTGATTCTATGATAAGAAGTAAAATGAGACAAAGAATTGGATATGTGATCAGTAGCACCTGTGTCTAGAATCCATTGAGAATGGATATTACCTTGAGCCTGAGAAGAAGTGGAAACATTATGAGAGCTCACTAGATTGGTAGAATGTGTGGCTGTGGGATTAGATTGAGGAAGAAGAGCCAATAGACCATGAATTTGTTCTTCAGAAAGTCCCAGAGTTGAGGAATTTGACTGTGCCTGAGAATTAGAAGAATGAACTGCTGCAGAAGAATCTATGGTAACATTATGGACTCTTTTGGATTTGAAACCAGTAGAAAATCCAGGTGGTAATCCATGTAGGAGAAAACAAGTATCAATGGTGTGGTTTGTCCTACCACAGTGAGTGCATTGCCGAGAATCATCAAACCTTCCCCCTGATGAGCGAGTTTGAGACCCTTGATATGAAGGTTTTCCTCGGCCATAATCACTAGCAGGTGAGGGTTTTCCTCTGCCATTGGAGGTAGAAAGAAAAGGTTTATATTGAGAAACTTGTGCTGCCATGACTGAAGGTTCAGGGAGAATTCCTGATTGTAATTGTCGCTCATGTTGAATTATCATCGAAAAAATCTTGGTTAAAGAAGGCAAGGGATCCATGAGAAGGATCTGAGAGCGAACAACAGAGTAATTATCATTCAAGCCTCTAAGAAAACAAAGAACACAATCATTTTCACGATATTTCTTCATTGTCTTAGAAACAATACAACAAGAAGCAGGAGATTTGCACTCTGGAATTGGGCGAAAATTGCAAAGTTCATCCCAGAGAATCTTCATCTTAGTGTAATATGCAGTAACACTTAGGTCAGATTGATGTATCAAATAAAGATCTTGATGCAATTGTGAAATTCGAACAGAATCACCTTGGGAAAAACGATCTTTGAGATCCTTCCATGCCACAGCTGCAGAGTCAATCCAGATAATACTTGTAGCAATCTCATGAGAAACAGAGTGATTGATCCAAGATAAAACCAAATTATTGCAGCGCTTCCATGCTGGAACCATGGGATTTGTCGCAGCGGGACAAGGAATGGAACCATCGGCAAAGCCAAATTTATTCTTCATTTGCAGTGACATAGACATCGAGCGGGCCCATCCATGATAATTGTGACCTTCAAGAATCGGAGAAACAAGCACCAGTGATGGATTCTCGTTAGGGTGAATGTAATAGTCATGTGTTGTATCTTGCAAAGATGCGAGAGTAACGAGAGGAGCAACCATAGAAGGAGAAGAAATTGCAAAGAAGCAAAGAACGTAGAGAAAGAAAAACGGTCAGGGAAGCAGTAACAGAATCAAACGTAGAGAAAGAAAAACAGTCAGGAAAGCATTAACAGAATCAGTTGCGGAAGAATGTGATGAGGAATGATTTTCCTTCTGATACCATGTTATAAGGAAAGAATGGATGAAAAGTAAAAGTTGTATTGAATGTTAGGTAAAATACATCTTATATACAAGATAGCTTTACGAATTACATAACAGATTGTAACCAACTACTTAACGAAACTAAACTGAATTTATATTCAATATAATTATATATCATATTTTTCTCTTTAATATATTTTATTATTTTTTTAAAATATATAAATCTTAATAACTATTTTTTAATTATCAATATTTGTTTTTGTTATGACATTAAAAAAACAACAAAAATAATCACTTTATATATAATTATAGGTATAATTGTATTTAATTAAAAAAATTAAATATTTAAAATTTTATTAAATTATGTGTCCAAATCCAATCACTAACAATATATAAAATTTTGATTAATTACCCAATACTATTGAATATAGTAGATATAGGATATAACTAATATATTATAATATGTTTAAATGATCAAATTTAAGTATGTGTACTTTAATTTTTTTATTATTATTTATGTATAACTATGTGACTTAAACATGTGACTTGAAAAAAAATTAAAGATTAAAAATGAAGATCTTCGTTATTCATGAATAATGTATACTCCAATTTTACACATACCCGAAACGCGTATTTTAAAGTCTATTATTATCGACACACACGTTAGGGTGTTTGTATGAATATGGTTAAAGTTACCTTTTTGTTAAATTTTATTGGTTCAATTATTAAATTAAAATTTCTCATAAATGCAATTTTAATAAAAAAATTACAATATTTAACATTTTATTGAATAAATCCTGTCTAATACATAATATATTGTACCAAAATTGTGTCACTATCGATTATACGATTATATATTTACAAACATTTTATTTAGTTAAAATTTAGTGTGCATAAATATTAATTTATTATTGAAATATTTACCAATTGGATTATTAAAGTTGAATATATATATATATATATATATATATATATAAGTTATGGATAATTACTAATAGCAATCTTAAACATGTTGTTTATGTTAATTTTGAAAGTTTTTTAATGTCAGGTATGTTTAAATATTCTACAAAAAAATTTGATAACTAAAATTATCAACTTAATTTTATAAGTATTGTAATTAATTTTAAATTAATAATATTGAAAACATTATCCAATAATTTGTCTTATTTAGAGGATAATTTTTCTTAAGCAACTAATTATTATATATACAATGTCATGTTAATTTTTCTAATAATAATTTTTTTAAGCAACCTTACTTAACTTTGCGTTACACGAAACTTTTTTGGTTTTTGTATTTATCTTTTTACCAAAACAACTACCAACAGTAGTTAAGGAGTATTTATAATTTAGAAAATTTACGTTAATTCTCAAAATCAAATCACATCATAAATAATTAATAAAAAAAGCTGCACTTAACAAAAATGCTAAATCATTTGAAAACTATTTTGAAGTATAATAAATAATTAAACCAAAATGATGATTTTTTTTAATTTAGGCATTAAAATTGTAAAAATTTAAAGACTGAAATTACAGTAAAAAAATAAATAAATTAATTTATCGTTTTCTTTATATTTTTTAGTCTTACTTAAATTAAAAACTAAAAATATGTGTAAGAAATTACTCATGGTAGTGAAGAAGATCATGAAAGCTCAGGGAAACGACAACTGTGTTGAAAAGGTACCACATCGAACCATACCCGACACGTGGATCATCTACCACCGAAGTCACTACCAAATGATAACTTCACCTTCAATCAACATTTTTTTATTCCATGTAAACGAAATAACCCTAAAATGATTTGGGCTCGAAAAAAAATAAAAAATTATGTAACCTAAATTGCATCTACTAATTACTTGATTCGATTAGTTTAATTCACGATCTAGACTTAGGTTTGTTTAGGCTTATAGGTTGATTGGTTCTTAAAACTAATAATTAAAAGTTAAAAATAACATTAATTTATTGAAATACATGTTTTTATTTTATTTTTAATAAAACTAATAATTTTGAAAGTGTATTTTTAATGTATAATAAGTATTTTAGAAGGGTTATTTTAGAATATATTAGTTTGATATTTCATTAATTTATGAACTTGAATAAATTTCAACTTCAAGAATAATTTTAAATATTTATTCGGTGAATAATGCTACTTCTAATAGTAGTTATTTAAAATTGTTAAATATTTTAAAAACTCAGCTATTTTCGGTGAACATCTTTAAATAATATTTGAATGCATTCTCTTTCTTTAAATTATAATTAAGGTTTTATCCGAAGAGTATATATTTAGTGTAATTATCTTCTTTTAAGAAATTATATATATAATTGTTCCCTGACATGATTTTTCATTAATATAGACTTGCTTTCATACCACAATTTAAGAAATATAAGTGTTACCCAAAACGATAAAATTGTTTGCCAACTATATCACATGGCAATAGAATTACAATTGAATACGTAAATTAATTCAAAAGTTATTTGTATATAATTCTCAAACCAATTTAATAAATTTACCATATGTGATAATTTATAATAAAATAATAACATAAAAAAAATTATACTCTCAATTTTTTATATATTATTTTTTCTTATCTTTTTAATCTATTTTTATTTCCGACCATGGTAATAATCTGTCTCGATATCAACCAAAAAGGTGCATAATCAAAGATTTAAAGAATTTTTTTTTTTAATTTAAAAACTTTTCTTAAAGAACTAATGAAAAACTTGAATCGTACGTGTCAGAAGGTAAAAGGATGAAGCACATGCGAGTGAACAAAGGAGAGGGTAAGGTTATCAAATTGCAGCTTCTCCTTGGAAAAGAAGATTTACTTTGGGAGAGCAAGGACAGTGACAGGTCTCGTGGCGGTGTTGTAGTTTGTTCAATTACCTGAACAAACAACAAACACCCAGACTCAAACCAAACCCAAACCTTATATTTCAATATCTCTTCTCTCACCATTTTCATTTCTCCACACCACACACATTTATTCATATCTCTCCTTGAGGACCTGACTTTTGTCACAACTTTAACTTTAGTACTGACTTACCCAATTAACTATTTCATCGTCATATGCTAAAAAGCTCTCAACTTTAAAGCTAACCAAAAAGAAAAGCTATCAGGGTAAGAATAAAGCAGCAGCTAAACTGATCTTCTGTATTGGGTTGCAGTTGAAATGTTGAACCTCTCTCAGGTTCATCAGTGAAACCCTTGGCATCCTACTAGTGATCTTTGTCTTTATACCAGGTAAAAATATATTTTTTAATTATTGTTGTTGTTGTTGTTGTAATCTGTTGTCTGATTGTGTTCTATCTTGGCCATAAAGCTTACTACTATAAGTTTTGTTTCAAGAACTTTTTAATTTTCTCTTTCGTCTTTGATGTGTCTTAATTAAGATCTGATCATTTGGGCTGTGGACATGAAGATTGTAGTTTTTTCTAATTTTTCTCAATTCTATTTCTTTGAACTGACATTGGAGTTGGGTTGAGTTCTGAATTATCTCGCCGTAAACTTTTTACTGTTGCTGGGCGTTCATGACATTCAGGTAGTTCAGAATTTGGTTGATAGACATTTAGTTTAACACTGTTCTTCTGCTTCTGCCACAACATGCGAGTTTCATCTCTTGCTGAGGTCACTTAATTGTCTTATGGTCGAAGATGTTTTACATAGGACAAAGTTTGAGTCTTGTAATAGCAACTTTTGTGTGTGTCGTGGATCAATTATCTGCCACTTCCCTTACGAAATTATATATACAATTGCTAACAGTCTAATACAATATGGAATCCAAGTTTTAGTTTATAGTAATATATTCTGTAGTGCTGTTCCTTCAAGGCACTAATGCTTATTCTCTGTTTGGTATTCAATTTTGATTTATTATTATTTAAGGTTGTATTTTGTCTCTTAGCAGATAGATCTCGTTTGTTTCTAGTTAGCGAAAGTAGATCTAATTTAGTTTTAGTTGATATTTACTCTTTGTTCAATTTTTGGTTTGTAGTCTGAATTGTCTTATAAATTTTATATTTTATTGAATTACGATATTTTTTATGCAGAAAAAAAAAATGGCAGCTCTGGTCATTGCTGCAACATGTGAGAAACTGGCTGAAACTGATTGGATGAAAAATATTGAAATCTGTGAATTAGTCGCTCATGATCAACGGTACCCCGCAAAGATTTATTTTCCTTATATGAAGTTCAAGGTTTTAAAAAACGGTTATTGACTGTAATTGCCACTGCAACATATCAAGGTTTTTGGAGTTTCTGTTACTAATTGGTAGCCATATCAACTACTGCAATTTTGTAAATTATAAAGGATTATGACAAAACAACAATTGCGTTTGGGACCATAATTTAAAACCTTGATGATGTTATTTCTTTTGTATTGATCATTATTCATTGACCATGGTATTTGTTCACTGCTACTCTTTGATGCCCAAGCCTGGCTGGCCTGTCATATGATTATGAAACAATAAATGTGCCAGAATAATACTGGGCTCCTAGCAGTGGCGATGATGTTGACAGTCCTTTTTTCTTTCTCTGAATATTCAGGCAGGCTAGAGATGTCGTTAAAGCTATAAAAAAGAGGCTGGGTTACAAGAACCCTAACATTCAACTTTATGCAGTAGCAGTGAGTATAACAACTGATAAATTTGTCTTTTTGTGTGAATTTTCTAGACAGTCTTAACTACACCCACAACTTATATATGAAGATAATTTGGTATGACATTTTTTTTCAGCATACCTAACATGAAGATTGGCTATGTGTTTTTCTCTTCTTGAATATTTATATTACTTGGTTCACTACCCAACAGTGTAGTACTAACTTGTGTATCATCTGTTGATTTTCTAGTTGCTAGAAATGTTGATGAACAATATTGGAGATCATGTTCACCAGCAGGTGATTGATACAGGAATTATCCCTATTCTTGTAAAAATTGTGAAGAAAAAAGTAAGTTTTTCTCCACAGGGACTATCGTTCTTTAGAAAAATTATTTATTTATTTATTTTTCCTTAATCTTTCTCTCTCTCTGAGTTTTATTTTTATTTGCCTACAGTCAGATTTGCCTGTAAGGGAGCGGATATTTCTGCTACTAGATGCCACACAAACATCCCTTGGTGGTGCTTCTGGAAAGTTTCCACAGTATTATAACGCGTATTATGATTTGGTGGTAGGTACAGATATGTGAAGTACAAACCTGAGATTTCCTTATGATTTTGATATATATCATTTGATTAATAAGTGGCAGCTATACTACTGTATTAGCAGAGTGTATGATAAGAAGTGAAGTAATTTGAGTATTATGGGTTTTAAAATATGAACAGTGCTGATATAGGGCACCCTATTCTTGATTGAATTCATATTTGAAGAGGATAGTTGTGCTACTGCATATAATACAAAAGAACATTTTTTTGTCAATAGTTTAATAGTTGTCAAAGCTAAACTTTGTTTTACCTTTTTCCAGAGTGCTGGGGTGCAGTTTCCTCAAAGGAATCAAGTAACCCAATCAAATTGTCCTCGTTCACAACTTAATGGGATTAACAATGTACCATACGCAGAGCAGGACCCTCCTAGACATCAGCCAGCAGAGTCACAAACTGTTACTGAATCTAGGTGACTTATCTTCATCTTTGGTATACTTGTGGGCAGGATCTTTAGAAATCCTTCTCTAACTAGATATGCCTGGATGTATTGAGCATTTTTATCAATGAAGCAATGAAAAGAACTATATTTGCAAATGTATTTTTCATTAGATGCTTTTTGCTAGTCCCCCTTTTTTTGATAAATTCAGAAGCATGGTTGATTCTTGATCTGGAGACCTCTCCACTAAGGTGGTGGAGGAGAAGAAGAAATATTATTCTAAAAATAATTTGTTGCTGTCATTTTTCTGATCCAACTACTTCTGCAATTATGTTTTGCAGCATTATTCAAAAGGCTAGTAATGCGTTAGAAGTTTTAAAAGAAGTCCTTGATGCTATTAATACCCAACACCCTCAGGTGAGCCAAGGACCTGTCATCCTGAAACCATATTTTGCCTTCTAGAATATGACTTGTTCTTTATTTTGATTCATACTTGATTCACCTTCACCTCAATGCATCCTTTGATGCTTATTCATACTTGATTCACCTTCACCTCAATGCATCCTTTGATGCTTGTTCAACGTATGAACCATGTAAATAATCATATTCCATCTTTAGCTGAAACTGTATGTTTTCTTTTCTAGGCTGCAAAAGATGAATTCACTCTTGACCTTGTTGAACAGTGTTCATTTCAGAAGCAAAGGGTAATGCATCTTGTGATGACTTCTTGGTAAGGATGCTTTAAATTTATCTTTTCTGTTAAAAATATATACAATTTTTGTTTCTTACTTCTACACTTTAAATGTTGAGAGGATTGATTGTAATGCCTTTGCTTGTGATTTGTGGTATCTTAGAGATTTTGCTTTGATACTTGATCCATTTCAATGATTCATATGCAGTAGATTTTTTATATTGAACTAAGAAAAACATAATATTTAGTTCTTTCATGTTGGTTCTTGTTATTTTCTAAGATGTAAGACGAATATTAGATGAACATGTTACATTTAGAGAAAATTAGAAAGGAATAGTTCTTAGGAATGTTTAAGATAATCCATGAGCAGCTACTCTCGAATTTAGTTGAATGGTTATTTTTAATGAAACTGGAAATATTTTTCCGAATTTTTTCCAAGTAAATTTCCCTAATAGTCATGTATTTGCACATGAATGCCTTTATTTAAATGTTTTTAACTTTTACCATCAACTGCTTTATCTATGGTTGTTTGTAGTGATGAGAGGATAGTTTCTCAAGCAATTGAATTAAACGAGCAACTCCAGAAAGTTCTTACAAGACATGATGGACTTCTTTCGGGCAGAGCCATGACAATAGCCAATCACTTGGACTGTGAAGAAGAAGAGGAGGAAGAAGAACCAGAACAGTTATTCCGGAGGTACCTTGCATATTCTCTTGATCATGCTAAACTTATCCCTTATGAAGGATGAAACAGTATCATGAATTTGATTCATTCTATTTAGTGTTCATTCATAAGAAAATTCAAAAGAGAGGTTAGGAATATGGTGTGAATGTGAGCTAATAATTCTTGTATGAACAATGGCTGGTAGATTACGCAAAGGAAAGGCTTGTGCAAGGCCTGAAGATGAAGAAAGTGAACCTGAGTTGTCTCACTTTGGTTTGGTTGAAGAGAGACTCAACCGTCCCTTAATAAGACCTCTATCTTTGGAGCCATCATCAAGAGAAGCTAATACTTGTCCTGCACCTGCTGTGATTCCTCCTCACATGGCAATTCCACCACCACCTTCAAAACACATTGAGAGGGAAAGATATTTCCAGGAAAATAAAAAGGATGGTGCTACTTTGGCTGGCCACTTGAGAGGCCTTTCCTTGCATAGTCACAATGGCAGCAGCTCTCACAGTGGAAGCTTTGATTTTAGTGATTGATCTCCTAACACAAACATTTTTTTTTAACTTCTCTTTTTCCCTTCTCTGGTATTGGGAATTGAAGCTGGTGATTTCTGTTCTAGTCCTTTTTTGTGTGATGGGGTGAGAGATGGGGGCTTATAGCTTATAAGCCTGTTTCAGTTTGTAACAATGTATGTAATTAAAGAGTATATGACATCATGTGCCTTGAGACCCAGGTTTTGTAGGTGCTAGTGTGATAATGCATTTTCTTATCTAATCTCGAGGGAACTACAAATATTTTCTGTTCTCACATTGCTTAGTTCATTTATGTTGAAGTTTAAGGATAAAAAGGTTATTTTATTATAATTTACATTTTCTTTTCTTTCTAATCAATTGACATTTTCATTCCAACAATTTCATTTTTCGTTCCTTTTCTTTTCCTTAATCTAAACGAAGACATGATATTTTCAAATCATGTTGCCCTTAAAAAACAGTACCCCTTTTGAATAGACTCTTTGAAACAAATTAACACCACTTTGAAAAAAAAAAAATTTCAAAAACAATTCAACACTCTTATAAAAAGACTATTTTATAACACTTTATGATGAGACTTATTAGTATGAAATGAACTTCTCTTGAGAGTTTTTTTTTTCTTTTCAAAATTATCTTTTCAAAATGAAAGGACGATAAAAATTGATTGCAAATTAAAAAAAAATACTAAAAATTAGACACCAGACCCTAAATTTCAATACCCAACTTTTTTTTAAAATGAAATTTAGTTCTAATACTGATTAAATTCTAACTACAAAATGAAATTGATTGAAAAATAGGTACTCACTAGAGTAACAATTAATTAATTGCATGCTTATAACTTTTCTATTATGATTAGCAAAATGTAAGAATTGACATGATGCAGAGATGAAGTTAAATTAAACGAAAGAGAAAATATAAAAGTACGAGTAATCAACCAAATAAACAAAAGAAAAAAATAAGAAGAAAATTTGAAAAAAAAAAATGAAAGGGAGTTTTGTTTTAACTTTTCTTAAATTTCAAATATATATTAAAAGTGATGAAAAAACTTATTTACATAATAAACGTTATGTATACCTCAACGTGCATTATAGGTTTTGAACTTGAATACATAGTATTTTGTTATACTCAGTTTTGTTTTAATTAAATAATATTATTGACAATACTATAATCCTTTTTAATAAATTAGTATTCCCATTAAACTAGTTCTATAATTTCTAACTATTCCTGCATTAGTTTGTTTGATTATATATATTAAATATGTTCAGGAATCTTTGACTAAGCTCAGATGGTTATCTAAGAATTAATTATATATAGTGATGCAATACGCCCAAAAGTCCTGCAACATTTAATAGTTTGGACCTACATAATTTAATAGTTGAGGTCAAGAGTATCTCATCTCTTAGTCCACTGAAAGATCTTCATGTGGGGAGCACATGTAGAAGGGACATTTGCATGGTTGAAGATGACTTTTCTCCTGATATTTGTCCAAATGTTCTACATTCAGCTGATGTAGTTTCCCAAAACATGAATATTATTCTAAGTCAATCCACCATTCTTCATAAAGATTCATTCATTCATATTTATATTCATTCAGTTTTTGTTAATAATATATAGATGTAGGGGTATGATCACAGCTGTCTCCAACGAAAAGGAGTTTGTTAAAGCCTCTGAAATGAAAAGATTAATTATCATGGAAGTCACGTATTAAGTCTACTTGCAGAACTAGCCAAAGTTGCTTACCTTCTGCTTCCACAAACAACACAATTGCTTGCAGCATACTTCTGAGTGCAAGGAGACACAGAAATAATACTATTTGTAACTGGAATACAATCGGTAGCACGTCTAAAACCAATATATTCTTATGGTTTACCAGCTGGGAAGTAAACCAAAATGGACAAGAATTGCTGCAACATTTTCAAAATTGTAAAACTTGTGAAGCCTTAAGAGCCCACAAGGAAATTATAATGTCAAAAAGTGCTTTAGATACATACAAGAAGTACTCTGCGTAGTATACAAACCATATCACTATACATTATTTTTCTCTTGTTTACATCCACAAATAATGTGTCTAAACTACATTTGAGAACTCCTGAGTGCATGCCTTCGATTTTAAGAGGCATATGTGATGCTAACGGTATACATATACATGCAAAACTAAATTCCAGTGCCATGCAGGGTAGGTGAGGATTCACTCACCTAAACAAGGGCAATATTCCCCACTGGTGCAGAAATCCCTCACCAGTGGTGACTTCTAAAAACAACATAAGAAGCACAGCAAGCATGGCAGCTCTTCCATTCCAAGTTTCAGCACTTTTGGTCCATCCCCATTCCCACACAATTACTGGCGGTGGCAACTCCCTACGTTGTGTGTCATATGCTGCCAATAACTCTTCTACGCTGCCTAGTGGAACCAAAGACTGCCAGAAACTTTTCATTAGATCACATGATACAAGTATGAAACTACAAAATACAGCATCACTATCTTATATGGCTCAATTTGTATCAACAATTTGCTGAAATGGAAATTGTCTACGTCTGTGCTTCTATGACAACTCAACAGAGAACATAGAGTAAAATAATTCTTGCTAGAATGCAAAAATGATAATGGTACCTGTCGAGCTTCAAGGTTTGAAACAGCCATTGCACCAACATATGGGAGACTCTCAATTACGGCATCGGCCAAATCTGAAATGAAGGTGGGTTCAGTTCCTAGAGCAGGAACACGGCCCCATTTTTCTATGCCAGATTTGAGAGCCAATTCTTTGTACTCAACATCAATTTCTTCTAGAGTTTCAATATGCTCGCTGACAAAGCTGTGAATCAAGCCGATTTTAACAAAAAACTAGGGTCACTTGTGTTCATACCGGTATGAGACAGGGACAAAGAAAAAGAAACAGTAAAAATAAGGAAGACTGGTGGTGTCACCTAATTGGTACAGCCAGCAGACTTTTTACACCCTTTTTCCCAAGTTCAACTATTGTCTCGTCTGTATAGGGTTTTAACCATTCCACAGGTCCAACTCTACTCTGTAACTCGAAATATAGCAAATTATAAGAAATTCAAAAAAGGATGTTTCTGAAAGCAGTAGCCTGATTTTGCTGTGGTAGAGATTGGATCAGATTTATTATTTGAGATAAGTAATCTAATCAACCTAATGACTTAGATGAGTAATCTAGTTTCACTCTTTAGCAAGAATGCTGTTTCCTAGTCCACAGAATTCCCCCAAAGATCTTTATCAAAGAGATGTTGCAAAGATCTTGCTTTATGTAATGACAGGTGAATCACATGAACAGTTCAGAATATTATTTCCTAGTTGATCACTCATTTTTTAAGAGAAATAAGAATCACAATTTTGGTGAGAACTCTACCAACAGCTTACTCGATATATAAAAACAGAAATCTCACTCTAGAGTCTGGATTTTTTTACTTATGCTGGATATTGCCATCCAAGATAGGAATGATTACTTTTTTGGATAGATGTTAAGGTCCTCCTTTCAGTGTACCATATTCCTGTACATGGATAAGCCCCATACTTAAGTTTTTTCATTTTTCCCTTTTAACTATAAATTAATATCATGTAGTAATAATTTGGAAAAAGAAAACCAAAATAATGAATAAAAAAAAAATAGTGACCAAAAACCTGAAAAATGAATAAAAAATAAGTAGTGACCTGATAAGCAAGGGTGTATCCATTAGTTATCTTTCTCTTTTCAAGCTCTTCCATGATTAACTCAACACATTCCTCCATCTCTGCCTTGTATGGATCACCAGCCTCTTCAACATAAGCAAGAGGCACCCCATGTGCACTAAAGAATATCATGACCTGCAACATGCATCAAATCAGTTACTGTCAGTAACAAGTGTCATACAATGAAGTGACTCCAATCTCAAGTTCAAGATGAACTCCAGTACAGGAAAAACTTCATCAGCATTACAAAATATGAAGGATAACCAAAGTTATTGACAGAAAAATCTTGATGGAAAAGAAAAAATGTATAACACCCTTTCGCGTAGTAGATCAAGTCACTCTCAAACCATCATCATTCACTAAACTAACCAAAAATATCTGATATGCTGACTACATAAATTATGCTATCATTATTCAAAGAATAATGATGATGACAAGATAAAATTGTCCAAAACCAACACTCTTGTCTGAGTCACTTAAACATAAATAATGCTGTACCTTCTCAGGACAGTCAAAACCTTGTAGCTCTTTCTCAATTAAATTTGCCATGGCATTAATGTATCCTTCACGCTGGTACCATGAAGGAATTACTGTGTGCTGCATGTTGACTAGATATTCATCCTCTCTGAAGAAGCAATACATAATTCAAAACAAAACTGAATGTTAAATAATTTGAATCATATTGATGTGATCACAGTACTTTTTTTCAATTTACAGTAATCACCTGAATATACTCTCTAAGAGACGAAGACTTGAACCACTGGTTGAAATTGAAAATTGTGGATAAAGTGGAAGCACAACAAGCTTTGTTATTCCATCCCTTTTAATCTACATGGTATATATTATTTCAAAGGAAAATCTAATTAAAATCAGATTAAAAATATATCAGAGAGAGACAAAATGATAAATGAAGCTATCTTCATTACTAAGACAAATTTTAGTTCACCTTTGTCTAATTGTATCAAGTTTCCTCCACCCTGTTCCCTATATCCTCTCCCCAAAATGAGTAAATCTAGTTTTCAATAATTATTTCTCATATAATTCCTATACATAGCAGATTAAGGTACGGATCAGTTTGAAGGTAAAAGTTTATTCAAGAGGATAACCTGCTAGACTGCATATCTTTGATTACATAACATAGCAACCTTCAACTGTCCCAAAGAATACAAAATTTATGCATTAAGAATGGCAATAATGTCTAACAGTTTAAATGTTAAACACTAATTTACAAGACAACCCAAAAATAGTATTTTTAAAAAGGTTCTTATTTCACTTGAATATTGTTTACATAATATACTAAATAAATAAATTGTCATTTTTGGCTAATTATATACTCCCATTTGCTCGCACCAACTTTAGATCTTCTCATTTTACCCTCTTCACCATCCCCCTTTCTCCATATATTTTTTAGGTTAATTTTCAGTATCTTTGCCAACAACCAAATTAGTCTGCTAGAGTATAGCAAAAGGGGACCAAATTATTTCGAATTAGCTAGTCCATTCTGAATCAAAATTATGTTCAGAAAATTAGAATCGGATATAAGGACATCATGAACCAACTAGCCCAAGAGCTTAAGTTGTTAGGTGGTGAAGACCCATAAATAATTTTATATTACATCTCAAAACACCTGGTCACACTAACCATTTGGGTTGAAGCATTTAAGGCCACCTTGTACTGATATTCAACTTTTCATTAGAACAATAAAGTTGGCAAGAATCAAACTCTAAAATATAGATCACTTGGAGATAAAGACTCAAGTACTATGTCATGAACCAACTATCAGTAGAGACTTGTGAATAGCGTCCATAACTATCAGCCAAGAAATATCCTAAAATGCAAGTACAACTTATGCCACCCATTCATGTAGATTTTGTATTTTCAAATCAAATCAGTGAAAAATGAACATTTTCATATATCTATGAACAACTAACCAAACTGTTAACTTATAAACATAAGGAACTGCCAGAGGCATGATCTTAATAAATGCTATCCAATTTCACATGGTATTCTAAGAAAAAGATGACTAAGTACCTGTTCAATAGCCTCTTCAGTGAATGGATGCCAATATCGCATGCCAACATACACTCTGGCTGGAACATTCTTTTCCCAAAGAGATTTTCTCAACTCTTCAGCCTGTGTACATTAACATTAAAAGAGGTTGGACAATGAGAAAGAAAACACAGACAAAAGAAAGCATACATGCTATGTATACCAACCCCTAACATCAGGTTTCAAAAACATTCAGGAAAAAATAATCAATTGTAAAATCTAATGAACATGTGAAAATTTTAAAACTAAGCTTTTAATGCTCAGAAAAAGATTAATTAAAACAAATATGAGTAGACAACTTTGCCTACATTAAAAGTTCTAACTTCTTGTTCAGCGTTCCAAAACAATTACATGCATTTGGTGCTTAGAACCACTCTTGTTCACAGCTAATAGTTCAATATCTAGCAAGTTCAAAGCGAAACACATGTAGTAATGTGTGGAAAAGAAGTTATTAGGAAGCGTCATGCCTGTGCATCAGTTATACGTCTAAGAGGAGATCCACCTCCGATAGAAGCATAGCCTTCTTTGCTCTTTGGTGCTCTTAAAACAGATACAAATTTGGCCAATGGCTTCTGAAGAAAGCTAAATAACCTTGGTAGTCGTATTATATCCTGCATAATTGTTCAGAAAATATAACTAACCATAAAATATAAGAAATCAGAAGCTTTAAATAATCAATAAAAACAATTAGCTCAAATGAATAGTGTGTTAAAGCGTTAAAGCTAGAGTATTACTGGGTCAGCAAAAAGGTTAAACAAAAAAGGCTGCACATCTTCAAGAGTCTCTGGACCTCCGAGGTTCAACAATAACACTCCAATCTTATCATCGCCAATAAGAGGTGTATCAGAAAAATCTTGAACTGTTGGAGTTACTAAAGCTTCAACGGGCAACAAGCGCCTGTAGAGTAACTTCTCAGAAACCAAAGGTTGTGTTTCTAACCATCCTGGTGTACTTTTGCGCACTACATAACTTTTCAAGGGATTAGTGTTAGAAGAAGCTTCCACCACATGGCCTCCAGAGCAGCGATACATCTTTTGAGAGGTACGGATTGCCTGTGGCAACAACCTTTCAAAATGAAAAATATTATGATCATTGCAAAATTCTACTAACATTTAGCAATAAAGTAATAAAAATTAAAGCACAGTTTAACATGAGGAAAAAGTTTAAGATGAATTTTGGGCATTACATGAATTGTAAACATCGCTTGCTATAAAGCAAATGAAAGTTATAAGTTAGCATCGAGATATGTAAATGTAGAATGTCAAGACAAGTTGGGCTCAGATGCACGATGGGAAGGAAAAAATAAACATAAAGGCATTATTTGGATGATATGTAGAACTTCACAGCTTAAAGAAAACAGGGGAAAACGGAACAAGAGTTTAAATCATGACTAATTGAACACTTAGAATGCGAAATTGATGGTCATGGAAATTTAGGTAAGAGGGAACTAAGAGTCCTGAAATATTATAACTGTTATTCAAATAAATCTGAAAATTGGATTCAACAGAACTTTACACGTTTTTTGAATTAAAGAATACTCTGTTTGAAATAGAACTTCTATAATAACATCAACTCAAAACTAATATAATATTTTGTTATAAAATTCAGAGTTAATCAACCTTAAGAAAACCATTAGCAACTCAACATAATCTTAGAGAACTGCATTTCAGACCATAGAATGCAACTTTCAACCTTCACTGTATATGTATAATTAAGGAATGCTTACTCTCATGATCAACACATGAAAAGCCATCTTATATATTACCAGCTTCGACCACTCGTTCAAAATCTAGAATATGGTGTTTCAAGGTAAATAACTCTATCTTCAAATTCCACAACTAATCTACAAACATGACATCGGAAATACTTCGAGAAAAAGATAATTACTGAAAAATTCAAAACAGAGAACAGGGATCATGGCAAAAGGAACACTCACAGCGGAAACTTGAAATTACGAGAAGCATGAGTGAGGCATGGAGGAGGACGGTTATATGAGCAAGAAGAAGAGGAAGGTGGTGAAGGGGAATGAATTGGAGAATTCATAGCTTGATTAATTACAAAAACAGGACTTTCACCGCTTGCTCGTCTTTCTGTTTCTGCACAAATGCATGTTTGAAACCTCAGCAGCGAAACTCAAGGCTAAAAAAAAAGAACTACACCCAGAAGTAATTTACGGAAAAGGGTTAAACTTTACCAAATCCCCACAAAACTGGAAGAGCAGGAGCTACCCCTAAGAAATGGGTGCACTGTGAATAAAGACCATGTAAAGTTCCATTTTTTATTTTTATTTTCTGTTTGATATTTTGTATATTTGCAATTAGACTGGTTTTGATGCAAGGGTGGAAAATGTTATAAATTTTGAAAGGCCATTTGCATCTGAAATCTGAATGCAGAGATGGATCCTTGAGGTTGAGAGTGACTGCTGAGACTGAGAAAAATCCACACCTCCTGTTTTTTTTTTTTTTTTTTTTGGTTATTATCATCTCATCTTCAACCATTTTTACTGCCTACCGTTTTCCTGGATTTATCCTTTCATGGACAAGTATGTCTGAATGTTCACTTCACCACCTCTTTCCTTGATTGCTATACCTTTTCTGGCCTTATTTGTATTAAATGATTTTATTTATTTATCTGAATTCGTGGTTGTTTTAAATATTTTATTTCACAAATAAATTGATAGAAAAAATATCATAAATAAAAATGAAATAATGGGAATTTCTGAATTATCATCCTCTTGGGGGTAGGTGTAGTGCTCCCATCAGTTGTTTATTTATGGTTATATTACTCCTTTAGTTAGACATTTCCAATGAAAATTTTCTTCTATCTTTTTGACAACATAATCTTCTCTTAATTATCTCTAACTATTTTTTATTTATAATTAATCCTTTTAATAGTTATTCTTAAAGTTATCAAAATGGATTGGTGAATCCCTTATATTTTAGATTTGTAATAAATAACTTTGATTGAATCGTAGAATTATTTTTTATTATTTATATTTTTAAAAACATTTACTAGATTTAATTTAGAGATAGAGATGGAAATAAAAGTAGAGTAATTAAGAAAGTTATCGGCTAATTATGAATGTAGTATATGAAATATAACTTTGGAACAGAGAAAAGGTGGAAACAAAGTACAAAATTAATAAATTACAAGAAGACATGTTTTTAATTTTCTAAATTACGTATTATAAGTATATATTAAACTCATCTTTCTAAATATCTACCCCTGATAAAAAAAAATCTATCCCTTCTCTGAAAATAAATAGCTAAAAATCTATCACTCTCTCTTTTTTTATTAATTATTTTCAATATTCTCTTTTATTTCAAAGGTATATTTTTCACACTATTCTCATAATTAGGAAACCAACTTTTATGTCTTAATCATCCCAAACTAGCATCATTTTGTATTTATCTCTTTTATATCTATGAATAATCATAATATATTTTAAAGTCAATGGTTAAAAAAGACGAATAATACAATTTAAATTTTTGTATTAAAAAATTAATGTAATACATTGTAAAAATATGTATTTATTATAAATTAGTTAAAAATATATATTTATATTGCACAATACACATGTTAAAAGACTAATTAATCTTTAAAATAATATACGCGCATGATTAAGTTAATCTAATTCTAAATAAACACTGACAAAAATGTAAACAAAATAAAAATAGATAATATTTATCTTGTCCAACTAGGTAGATTGACCGAAGAGTATTAACATCTTTCAGGTTCAACATTTGAGAGAGACTCAAATAATCTTATCAAGTAGACTCAGAGCATTCCAAGCATTTGTGGATTGGAGATTGTTTCTCATTAAACAAAATTATGAATAACTAATTTGAGATTTGAAGGTGTAAATGATATCAAAATTAAAAGTTAGTAAAAAAAAATAACGTCACACAACCTGATGATCAAAATGCAATTATTGTAGACTGTATGAGCGATAAATAGGAGGGAAGAAAAGATGTGCAAGAAATTGTTGATGAAAGGAAGTGAAGGATGTGATGATTTGGGCTATGGCTGGTGCTATGAGATGAGTGAGATACTGTTTTTTGGGGGCCATGAAAGACACGGTTGTTTGTCCTTTATGTTCATTCAGTACACCACAATCTCAATTCCATTTCTCTCTCCCACGTGGCCTTTAGCCATATCAAGTCCCACCTCGTATGTAAAAGGAACACTCTACACAAGGTTCACAATCCAGAACTTCTTTTATAAAAATGTTCTCAATAGTAATTATTTAGAACAATACAAGCTAAGTCCAGCTCGCCAAGAAAATCAGAAATTGTCTTTGACCCTTACATCATCATGGTGAGGACTCACGTGAGATTCTCATTATAGGACTTGTATTCTCAAGTTTAAAAATCACAATACCCTTTACACTGGTTTCTCATGTGTTAGATATCACCTTGTTTGATCACTCAATCATTGGGGTGTTGAAATATCTCAGCAGAATCAAAACCTAGCGCACCTCAGAAAGGAAACGTTTTGGTAACAACCTTACAAAAGATATCATTCTTTGGAAAATTCTAGAGTATTCAGAATAATACACTCTTAAAAGGTGACTGAGATTTAATTTAAAGCTTTATTAATATCATTGTAAGTTTAGTCCAATGGTAATTAAAAAAAATTAATATGGTTGAAATTATTTTCTGACTCTAGCAAGTTCAACCACTTTCTGTGATATACCACTCTCAAAGTAAGCCAAAACCAAGGACTACCTTAGGCAAAATACATAGTTGAGGCCATTTTTCGTCTACTATAGAAACATTTTAAACTTAACTATGCTGGTTATAACAGGCATGAGTAATTTAAAAGTTATCAGACAACTACTGTTCTCATACACGGCTTCCATGGTGATACAGGTAATACTAATACATTACATGGACAGTGCAGCAAGTTAGACTGCGTCGCTGGTTTGTAGTAGTTATTATAAATTATAGTACACATAAAAATAAGTGACTTCTAGCATGAAAAAATAATACTTTAACCAAGTACACAAGAATTATACTGCTTAACTGATTTGAAATTCTCCACTTGCATGAACCTCTTTGACCCTCTTGTCATACTCATCTTCGTCGTCCTCCTCTTCCTCCACGTCTTCTTCCCCTTCATCTTCTTCACCTTCCCAGCCGAAACCTTTGACAGGCCTGGATACTGGAGGAGGGTCCCTTGCTTCTCCCACAATTTTCATTATCTCCTCCACACTTTGAACAGAAAAGCTTGGGTTGCCTCTCTGGTAATAGACAGCTTGAGCTGATTCAGTTAGCTCTCTTGGAAGATTCTTTAAAAACCATGGGTGGTTCTTAATTTCCTTAAGGGAGATTCTCTGTAAACAATAGAGAGAACCAGGTGTGGCAGTTAGCTTGATGCAAACTAGATATTGACTCCTAATAAATTTAGTCAAGTGTACTTTCAAAAGCACCATGTTTATGTTTAAAATATTGTCCGTCGCTAAAAGCATATCAAAACTGGGGAATGAAGTGAAGACAACATTAGCTGAATCAAAAACAGGAAGATCTGTATAGATGTAAAACCATACAATAATTTAATTAATAAGGACTGGCTTGAACATAGGGAAAAATCTAAAAATTATGTTTTTTCAACCAATAGCCAGCAAAGTGATTCCTTAGTGTCGGTACATGGCACCAAAATTTCAAAATGCGTATCGTTAGTTCTCGATAAAATATGATAGATTTCTATTCAAATTGTATATGTCTCAATTTTGCATTGTCCTGGGTCTCCGACATAAACATAAGCAAGTCCATATGGAAAGCAAGCAATGCAAAAGAGAGAAAAGAACACCAAATTCAAGTTCTAGTTTAACAAGAGGGAAAATGGAAACATTTGATCTTTACCAATCAACCAAACAAGAGGCTAGCTGATGGTGATTATAGAAAAGGTGTTGGGTTGGGTGTAGAACTTCCCAATAGGTATAGCTTTCGTTGACAGGGTTTATTTCACCAGCTTGATTATTTCTCATCGACATAATGAACAGCAGGGGTTATATGTGAACAAAATAACATAAGTGTATTCAGGAATATAATACATATACGAAGAATACAGATATGATATTTAAACATATAACATACCCTTAATGGATTTGCTACAAATATGCGAGAAAGGAGGTGTCTGCAGTCTTGAGATATGTGAACATAATCAGGGATTTTGTATTGAACAGCCATTATACGCTGCAGATGAAGACAGGAAATAGGGTAAGATAATGAGATTATAACATGAAACAATATCAGAATCGGTGTTAAAAGTGATGGTATTATACCTGAATTGTTTTCCTAAAATTCCTAGGGTCATCCTGATCCTCAAAAGGATATGCTCCAACCAGCATGACATAAAGAGTCACTCCACATGACCAAACATCAGCCAACTAAAACAATTTTTAGAATAGAACATTAATTAGATTCATATGTTGGTTATAATAGATATATATAAAAGACTTTTCCAGGTAGCATGGTCAAAGTGACAACACTACAAAATTAAAGATAGGAAAAGTGTAAGAAGAAATGAAAACAAATGTCCCCTCTCTCTTTACAAATAAAACCAATGACTTTGGCTTGCAACAGGCAGAAAGATGAAGTTAACTTCCTACAACACAGACACACACATACAAAGATGTGCGGGACTATAAAGAACCAATTATATATAGACTGTAGAGTAGATACCTTGCCATCATACTCCCTCCTTGAAAGAACCTCTGGTGCTATATAAGCAGGAGTTCCAACAGTTGATTTGGGCCGTGAATGAAGCAGAGATGACTAAACCAAAAATCAGAAACATTCAGATTTTTTAAGGCTAACGTGCATATTATTATGTTTAGAACTTTGAAACTAATGGTAATAATTCTAGTACCTTGGAATAGCCAAAGTCACAAATTTTCAAGCGGGGTGCAGGGCTTCCATCTAAAAGTGTGTTTTCTAACTTCAAATCTCTGTGGCAAATTTGCTGCAAAAAGAGGAGTAAAATCATAGTTTCTAAATTTGTATATTTCTGACTGCAGAAAGTTCAATAAATTTTCAAGAACTTGAGAATTATTATACCATGGCATGACAGTAGTGCACACCAGAAATCAGCTGCTGAAAGAAATATCTAGCCTGAACAATCAAAGGGCAAAATAAATGAGACATGGATACGATACAATAGTAAAGGCACTAGAAGCAAGGGTGTGAAGAAAATCCCAAGAGTAAGTTTTCAACCTCATCTTCACTGAACCTGCCAGCATTGCATATCCTCTCAAAGAGCTCTCCTCCAGCTGCATACTCCATCACTATGGCTAAATGAGTGGGGGTCAAAACCACCTGAAAAACCAAAACCCGATTTGAATGAGTAAAATTAAATAAAATAGAGTAATCAATAACAAGTGATCCAACATGTTAACAACTAAAGTCCTTGCCTCCTTGAAGCGAATTATATTGGGGTGCCGAAGGGATCTGTGGTTGATAATCTCTCTTGCCACATTCTCATCAATCTGGAATTGGAGAATGGATGAAGAAAACTTTTAATAACAGATGCCATTTCAATTTCATATATAAAAAATACAAACAAGAAACAAATAGGAGGATATGAGCCTCTCCATCTTGTCTGTCCTGGGCTTTACAGAAGAATACAAGCCATGTGTTGGATTTGCCAAGTCAAAGATTTAGTGGGAAGAAAAAAAAATCAGTTCATAATTCTAATCAGTAATCACAATCAACTAACTCCGGGAAATATCTACTCCAAATCTAAAAACAAAATAGTTTATAATTGTGTATTCTATCCCCTCCTACATTTCTTTCAACCACGCGTAATAAAATATTACAAAATAAACATGCTAACACCTTTCCTCAATTTTTCACTTTTCATAAATAACAGTTCCAACCTCACAAGCCCTTCATTGATCGTCATCTCACATGCAAAACGTGAGAGTAATAACAAATCTGAAGATCGAAGAAATGAAAGAACAAACAGGAAAATAAAATTCAATTATACTTTTTTTTTAAAAGAAAGAAAGATGGAAACCTTTTGGCCTCGCTCGATGTATTTCATGGCAACAAGCTCCTTGGTCTCCTTGTTCCTCATGAGCCTGGCCACCCCGAAATTCCCAGCTCCCAAATCTTTGACAGCCTCATACTTTTCCATGATCAAATCCCTCAACTCAACCAAAGACGCTACCTGTTATTGTGGATATGAATATGGAAGAAAGGGGGTTCAAACTTGAAACTTGAAACTCAAAGGGGGCATGCAAGACCCTTGTAGAATCACAACACTATTTTACACTCTGATCAAAGCGGTAATATAAAGGTGGTCCCTTTCACTGAAAAAAAACGGTTCTTTTTCCACACAGACGCATATAATAATGTATAAATTTAGACAGAGAGAGAGAGAGGGGGTGGGAATGAAGAATTATTAAGAGCGGGGGAGAAGAAAGGGCACGTGGGAGAGTGAGAGAGAAAACATTAGAAAATTGGGGTGGGATGGGATCCAATCAATGAGCTTGAAGAAGAGGAAGGAAAACCAGCTTGAATCCAGTTAATTAGTGAGTACCCTTTTGGTTTGATTTTTTATTTGAGTTGTGAAACTGAGAATTGAATTGGAAATTTGGAATTGGTATTTGGAATGGGATCTCTTACAACGCCGATGCTGTAGGGGACAGGACAGGGACTCCTTTCTCTTCATTCCTCAATCTTTTTTGTCGTTTTCACATGCTACCTTCCCTTCTTTTTTATTTTTATTTTTATTTTTCATTTTTTATTTTAATTTAACACCATCTTTCTTTCTTTCACTCGCCCAAGAACCACTCCACCCTTTAATTTTTAATTAATCAAGCAATGGCAATAGCTAATGTATGTATTTATTGTTAGGTTATGTGTGGATCTTTCATCCATTTTTATTCATTGATTTGGAACCAAATTATCTTTCTTCTTTATTTACAGTTATAAATGACATTATTCAGTTTTTTCAAAAATAATGACTTAATCTTGAACCAGAGTATTATAAGGAGATATTCTTTTTTACCAAATTATATAACTTTCTTACATTAAATTTCCCATTTTGTATTTCTCTCAAGCACCATTGCTTTAGTTTGTTAATCTCAATTTAAATTTATAAGTGATATATTTTTCTGATAAAATCAAATTGAAAATTCTTGATCTTTTAATTTTAAATTTGACACATCATATTAAACAAAAAGCAATGAACATAGATATGAATTTTATTAATTAAAAAAATCACATAATCACCTCCTTAATTTTAAAAATCATCTGTATTTTATTTTTCCTATATATGTTATGTAAAACAAGGATATCATTGCTTAAAATATGTATTTGTTAAATATATAAATGCTTCTTTAAAACATGTAAATTTACCGTTAATATATTTATATTTACTCTTATTTGATTAAATAATAATTGTGCAAAATATTAAATAAGAGATAAGAGATAAAAATACTAAAAAAACAAATATTTTTTATTGATTTAAGTATAATAATCTTAAATGAAATGTATAAAAAAAATGGAAGACTTTATTCTTAATTTTAGTATTTATGTTTTACAGTTTTAGTGATATAATTTTAAACGAAATATTATATTTACTCTTGAATTATAACTTAAAAAAATTTTAATGTACAATAATTCTTAATTGCTGCTATCAATTTATAATTTTGTTTTGTTAACTTTTAATTCAATTATGCTACGACTATTATTAGTACCTAATACAAGAAAAACCTGTTTCAAATTAACGTCACTGACCAGTGTAAAAGAATTAATGAATGTTTGGTTAATAGTCAAAGAGTCGTTGATTCCAGAATATGTTATTTTGTTGTATAACACCACGTTTGTTTAGGTAAATGGTTTTGTAGAAAATAAAAAAAGTAAAAATAAATTAACTTTTATATATATATATATATATATATATATATATATATATAATTGTATTTATATTTTTTATTAAAAATAATTTATTTATAAATTAAACAAAATCAAATCCTTTTTAGAAAGAAATAATTTTTTCATTAACAATGTAAAAAAATCAACAAAATCATTCAATAAAAAAGATGTTGCATATAATAAATTTATTAATTTTGATCATTATTACCCAAAATATCCTAAATATTATAATTTTTATTAATTAACACTGTAAACTAACGTTATTTTACTATGACTATGCATGAGAATTAAAGTCTTATTTTTAACATACTTTCAAAATATCACGTTCAAATATAATTTTTTTTAATACAATGAATAATTAAAAGTTTTTTTTCTTAATTAGTACGCAATGTTTTGTATAGTGATAAAACTTTTATTATTTTTAACCTAAAAACATTATATTGATAGTTTAACCAATAAAAAATTGTTATATATAATAATTTTGTTCAATTTAACATAACCAACTTAAAATTAGTAGCTTGATAAAAAAATTATATATGTAGGAGAATTAATATTGAGTTATTTAAATAAAAAAACATAAAAGAGTTAAACTTACCATTATTTTTTATTTTCTTTTAATTAAACAAGTTATTCATATTTAATAGTTAAACTGGAAAATAATAGATAAAGATGAAGAGTGATTATAAAAATAACATATAGATATGTTAAACATTTAGGGTTAATATTTTAATTAATAATTAAAAGAAAAAGGTTATTAGATTAACAAATATTTTCGTAATTAACGTAAAAAATAATTTCAATAAACATATTAATATCATCATCATCACAATAGATTGTGAATCTAATTGAATAAAAGATTAAGTTTTGTTGCGGTTATAATTAAGAGTTATTAATATTTTATTAGTACTATGATAAAAGCAAAATAAATGTTGGAAATGTAGAAAACGCGTTGACCAAATGGAAGTAGGGACATGAGATCCGATCCGATCCGATCAGATCCGGACTTTGATGGCAGCCGACATAGAGCGCCACCGTCGCTTCATTTTGATTGGCCAACTCACTCACTCTTCTCTCCTCCAACACTTTATTCAAGTAAATAACTTACTTCAATGTGCTTAAAATAAATATTTAGTTTTAATTATTTTGTTAACCAATGTTCTTTCTTCTAATCATTGTTTCCAAAACTATATTTAACATGTTATTCACTTAGGATTCAATTACTTAAGTTATGTGTTAAGTTTTTATAATTATACAAAATTACTTTTTTTAGCTGTTGTGTTTGAAAGTAATCTACTTTTATTTCTGTGCATACATTTTAACATGTTTTAGTCTTTATAATATCAATTATATCTTTTTCTTATATTTTACATTCTAATTTTAAAAAAAATTATTTTAGTTCATACATATTAAATATAAGGTGCTGAAATTAATTTATTAGTCCTTCAAAAATAATCTTAAAAATTTTTAATATTTTTTTATTTAAGAAACCAAAAACAAATTTATCACAAATTTTATAAATGAAAGACATATTAAACCCTTAAAATAGTATGTATAAAAAATTATATAAGTTATTTCTAATTATTAATATGTTTAAAAAATGAGTTAAATATTAGTCTAATATTTGCTATAAATCGAATGAGTAGTTACATTTTTAATCAATTAATAAAATATATGATTATATTAAATATATATTATGAATTCCTGTTCATTTCCCAAAATGTCAGTTATTTATCATCTCCCAAAATTTCATCTGCTTCCTGTTCATCATTTCCCAATCATTTGCTTCCATTCATTATCTTCACCCAAATTTTCACTTTCTAATTCTTTTCTGTAATCGCCTTTTCTTAATCTCTTTCTTCATTTGTTTAAAAATATCGGGTATTTGTATGCAAATAAAATAAAAACAATTTTAAGGTATTAAATAGATCCAAATTTTATATTGTTTCTAAACCTTACACATATCAATCCAAAAGTTAGAAAATTCTTAAAAACTAGTCATTTGTTGTGCGATAATTTCGGGTCCGGTTTTTAATTCTTTGAGCATGTAGTTAAAAGGATAACGTTACTTAACATAATGACATCGTTGTCTCAGAGGAAGAAAGAAAAAGTATGATTAGTTTAACGGCATCACGACATAAAAGAATTGAACAACATAGTTTACAGAATTACACATGCCCCACACCACACCACACCACACTACACAAATCATTGTCACCAAATTCATTATATTTGCTACGATGAAAACTTTTTATGCCAACCACCTTAAAAGCACCTTATCTATTTAAGTTGTGAAAAATTGATTTTCCCCCAACATGCATGATGTGTCCATCACTCTCCATTGTTACTTGTTAGTGCCACCACACCAAATTCAATACTTAATGCTCTTTGACACAACCATAGCCAATCCTTGTCTTATACCGAATATTCCTTCATTGCTTTATGGGAAAGGACCCACGACTAAACTAGAGTTTTCAACTTTCAACATGTCACATTTAGAGCCAGAGTTATCAAAAGAGGGAAGGTAGGGAAGCACAAAAATCATGGGTCAAGAACACCAAAGAAATTCCTAGATCACTTCCAGGATGAAAACCCTCAAAAATCAAACTCCAACTCAAAATTTATCATTTCCCCACAATACCTAACCAGATCATGTAGTTCTTGAAGAAATAAAGAAAGTTACAAATTCAGCATAAGTTTTCATTTTAGCATTCTTGACTCAATTTGTGGAGGAAATTCAAATGGAGGAAGAAGAGGAGCTAAATGTATAAAATTTAGAGAGTAAAAGGAGGCATGGGAAAAGAAGAGAAAATTAAGAAACAGGTTGTTTTGTTTGTAAGAAATAGAATGAAGACTCTATTGGTACCCACTATTTCCTAAACTCACATTCTACTTTCATATTTTTTTGTTCTTATGTTTTGTTTTCAGCCCAATTTCTATTCCCATCCCTCAATTTAAACACAACTATAATTATCCATTTAAATATACAACTATAACTAATATATATATATATATATATATATATATATATATATATATATATATATATATATATATTCAGTTACCATCATTTTTAATTAATTAACTCACTACCTCAAGATAAAGTACAAGTCCTCAAAATATAATTATAAATTATAATAAAAAATAAACAAATTTAATATATAATAGTTCATGATTGATTGATAATGTACATATAATGTTTAAAATAAAATATCTTATTATATTTTATGTGTATGTGAAAGATAAGAAAGGAGAGTT